CTCAAAATGTTAAGTGTACTTACCACCAACCCTACTACTCCACCCCTAGGGGGGATACCCAGAGAGCCAAAAACAGACTCCCACGGGAACTTGTACACAGGTGTCTGGAGCGGCACGGTCTACCACAGCCAGAGGCAGAAAGAGCCCCGGTGTCCATCCACGAACCCTTTACTGCAGACTCAGACCATCACACAGCAGAAGGACTGCAGATCCAAGCTCAAACCTGGCCCTTCCTGCACAGGCACAGAGAACCGTACAGCTCCATGTCTGGGAAGGACCAGAATCATCTGGTGCCCAAGATGATGCATGTGAGAAACCTCATGTATGGGAGAAACTGGGCTGGTCAGTGGCAGAAGGAACACTGGAAACAGGGCCTCAAGTTCCACCTCCTCTTCTGCCCTGTATGCCATGCTGCTCCTTATGTTGGCCTGAGTCCCTGGGGGCTTGTGGCTGGTCTGAAGGATGGAAACTGCCACTCAGGGGCTCTGCTGGCAGCTGGAAACTAGCGAGGCCTATGGAAGACAAAGCTAGACTCAGTCCTGCCCCCAGACAACCAGCAATCATAAAGGAGGGCTGGTGCCACAGTAGTTACTAAACATTACTTGAATGCAAAACCCAGAATAAGGGGTAAAGATTGGAATCATGATTTTCAAATCATCCAGGAGCGGAAAAATTGTTTAAAAATCAGCTTTCTGTTGGGGACCAGGCTAAGTGATAGATCATGGGGAAGTAACTGAACCAGTCCATTAGAGGCAAACTCTCCCTGGTCCTCAGTGTACCCTGAAAATTGTCTCTTTTTCTTTATTCCCCACTGTGGCCCCAACAGGTATCCCCAGGGTCTGATCAGCCCTTGGTAGCCTTCCATGTCGAAGCTAAAGAAGTTACTCTTTACAGGACTGTAATAAAAATTTACTGTCTTCTGTTTGTCACCATTATGGTGACTGTCAATGTAACTAGACAAACAACTAGCGGATTAGTCAAACAAGCTTCTAGGTGTGTCTATGGGAGTGTTTACAGAGATGACTGGAATGCAGTCCAGCAAATGAGGGAGAAGCCTCACCCTAACTGTGAGTAGTGCCACCCAGTTAGCTTGCAGCAGCTGGGAGGACAGGGAAAGACAAGTGGGCCTGCACGGAAAAGGGCTGCTCTGCTGGACAGAAGAGAGTCTTTTGCTTGTGCTGCTGTCTATAGGCATCAGGCTCTAGCTCCTTTCCCCTTCAAAGCAGCCCCACATCAGTGCCTCTCCAGGGCACACCAGACCCTCGGTCTGGGTCTGCACTGTACCCTTGATCCCTCTTGTTCTATGGATCCCAGGCCCTTGGACTGAGCTGTGACAGGGTCTCCTGATTCTCCAGCACACAACCACGGTGGACTCTCCTGCCTCTGACCTCACAAGCTAATCTGATAAATCCTTTTGTCTAATTATATATACCTTTTTCTATTGATTCTATTTCTCCAGCAAACCCAAGCCAATATACCGTTCTTCATTGGCCCTCTTACCCAAGTTGCTGAAAATAGCCACAATCCTACCCCAAACCACACCCCATGCCATGTGCCCTCACCTACCACAGTGCAGTGGGACACTCACAGAGCATATGGTGTTATGGTTTGGATCAAAAATGTCCCCAAAAGGGGACTTAGATGTGGGGCTATGGAAGGTCATGCTTAGATGTGGGGCTCTGGAAGGTGATGGGATCAGCAGAGGGCTTCCTGCTTGGCTGTGTGCTAGCAGGAGGAGGGGTCCCCAGGTGTAACCTGGAGGGGCACATTCTCACCCTGCACTCCCCCTCCTCGAACTCTTTCTGTCATTCTTTGCTCCTTGGCTGCAGTGAGCCGAGCAGCTTTCCTCCACCACACGTGTGCCTGATCAGGTGTGAGATGTTGCACAAGTCAGCAAGAAAAGTGCAGCCACGACACCTCACAAATCACCAGGGAAACGGCCCCAGGGGGCAGACAGTGGAGGAAGGAAGAGGAGATGGGGGTGGGTGTTCCACACCCTGACTGTGGTGTCTCAGGAGGAGATGCACCTGTCAGAACTTACAGAGGTGCACAATGCCAAGAGAACTCACTGTGAGGGGATCTACTGGGTGGGACTTTAGAGAACTTGTGTCAGAGGGAAAAAGATCTCCACGCCTGCTCTGCCATGCTCTCCTGATCACAGTGCCGTGGTTTCTGCCACTGTCCGCTCTCCACAGAACACCTGTGGCACGTGAGCCACCTCTGTGACCCAGCACTCTGACAGCACGTGAGAATGTGGAACCTTCTCAGTCAGACTCACTGACGCACCAATGCCTGGGGAGCCTGTGTGTCCCCCTGAGCCAGCACAGCCAGAGGAAGCATCACCACACTGGATGCCAGGCGACAGGCGAGCTCCACCCACTAGCTGCCGCCTTGTCACAATTCATGCCTTTCCAGCTCAGAGCTCAACTGAACAGAAGCTGCACACTGGCAACCCCAGCTTCTCACGAGGCCTAGGCAGGATGATCACAAGCTTTTCTGCCTGGACAACAGAGAGAGACTTCATCTTCAGGTAGAGAAAACATAAAAAGGATATAACTCAGTGGCAGAGTACCTGCCTATGTGTCTGTCCCTGGGTTTAAGCCTGGGTTTAAGCCCTAGTATTAAAGAAAAAAAAATCACCATCCAGCAAAATGACATAGATTATACACCTTCTGAGTCATACGCAGAGAAGCAAATCAAATTTGCAAATGCCACCTGGCACAGTGGTATGTGCCTGTAATCTTTGGAAGGCTGAGACAGGAGGATTGCGAGTCTGAGCTCAGCCTGGGCAATTTAGCAGTAAGTGAGACCCTGTCTCAAAATAAAAAATGGGCTGGGGATACAGTTGACAAGCTGGATTTACTCCACAGTTCTGCCAAAAGAAAGAAAAGAAAGTAAGTAAATTAGTAAATGTTTTTATTTAATAAACAGCCTTCAGCCGCACATGACTATAGTTCCAGGTATTCATTGAGGCTGAGGCAGAGGGATCACAAGTTCTAGAGATTTAGCAAGACACTTCTAGAAAAACAAATAAAAGGCCTGGGAATGTAGCCTAGTGGCACAACATTTAAGAGGCACAAGAGACCCTGGGTTAAATACCACAGCAGGGATGGGGCATGAAAAAAACCAAAGACCTTCAAAGCAAACCCGTGATAAAAGTAAAGAAAGCTGCCTTGTGCTGGACCAAGCAGGTGCCAGGCCAACCTAGGACAGCCAGAGGTCACTGTGGCCTCAGCATCCACCCCACAAAGGATTATTTTTTAAATGTCTACACAGGACCTGCCCCACTAGGATTTCAGTAAAAGCAGAGGAATGCTGTGAGGAAAGTAGAATTTCCCCTCTTTTAAACGGAAAGTTATCCCACGAGTAGCATGGGACCCAGCAGAGACGAAAGGTCAGTGTGAGAAGGTAATGGTCTTTGCAGGAACACACTTCACCACTTCACCGACTCAGAGCAGATCTTCAGTGCTCACCAGTGACACACAGCCCACCACAGAGACAGAGACGATGAATGAACCCCAGGGCCAGTAACCTGTCCCAAATAAAAGCACCACCTGTGTTTCCTTCTGAGGTAATCAGGGACTTAAAGACAGGCTTATTGTTTTTTAAACTAAACCCATGACTCATCACTTGGGCCCACAGATGCCCAGTAGGTAACTAAAAACAGAAGGAAAGTCTGATGCGTTCTTGGGCCCACAGATGCCCAGTAGGTAACTAAAAACAGAAGGAAAGTCTGATGCGTTCTGTATCCTTTTTCACCTTAACACTTTGGATACAATTATGTCAATCAGTTCCCTAACTAAGCAAGGTTAATCAGCCTTAAATTCCCCTAGCCTATCTCACCCTCTTCGAGACCAAGGACACCAAGAGGTCGTCTGCAGGAACACGCAAGACACCAGCTGTCTCTGGTGTCCTGAGCCTGGGGTCACCCCAGATCCCAGCACCACTTCACATGTCTGAACTGCTCCAAGCAAGGAATCACCACACTGCAAGGAGTCCTCTGCAGCTATGACGCTGGCCCTGAGATGGTGGTCAGCCAGCCACCAACCCCCACAGCCCCCGTAACAGTGCTGCTGCCCCTCTGTCGAAAGGCCACTCTGATCCCTCGCTTCAGACTTGAGCCCCATCAGTTCTCAATTGGACCCTTTCTCTGCTTCTCCTTGTGCTAGGGGACTAGCCTGACCTTTGTCAGAGCTGCACGCATCCCCTCTGCTTTCTCTTACTTCCCTCGAACGCACACTAGAAGCCTGCATTTTGACATCCATCTTCAGTGGACAAGGCCCACACTGGCTGTGACATCAGTGTGGACCACCTCTCGCCTCACGAGGCACTCAGGAAATCCCTGGGCTTCCCCATAATGGTTTTGCTGTGGAGTCTTATCCTAACTCTCAAGCAAAAGATTAGTGTTTAAGCCTTCAGAAGAAAATTACTGAAGACAATTTAAATTTTTAGAATTCTTTAAAACAAGGGTGCAACTATTTTGAAGATAACAATATGCAATACACTGACTATTAACTTCCTATCTCAGCTTGTTTTGAAATCCCTTATCATTTCTACTGTTTTTTTTTTATTGTTTTGCTTTCTTTTAATATCTTTAAAATAAAAAAGAGCTCAGTTTAGGCTTAGTTTAAGGTTTTTCTAATCATTTCTCAGCCTTTTGGCTAAGGCCAAATGTAGCTTACCACTTTTCTTTGGCGAGACATCAGTAATTGCAATGAGGATTCCAAGTAACAAGCAGCTAAATCAACAGTTTTGCTTCATTTTTTGATTCCTACCAAGCAAACTAACTTGTGCTTCTTTTGGATTAGTCACTCTTAATAACTGATATGTATCAGAATCCCTTCAGGTGATTTTCTAAGACCCACACACTTGGTACCTATCCCAGATCTCTAGAGTCAGATTTTCCAGGGTGAGGCCCAGCACTGTTTCTGAAAACATCCCTGAGAAATGTTCACATGCTCGGATGCTCATCTCTGCCCGTGCATTTGAGAATTACTCACTTGTTACAATTCCGGCCAAAGCGAAAACGAACTGGTTCTCGTCCGAATTAAGGTCCTTGACATCCCCGTCCAGCGCCTTCACAAAACTCTCCATTGTCTGGCCAGTGATGTGGAAAAACTTCAAAGCTTTTTCCTGAAAGTTTAGAAAGGAAAGTATCACAGACTTTTGCAGATAGGAGTATAAAAGTGTAGGATACAGAAGAAAGACTCTGGTTTTCATTACAGAAGGGATACTTAAAAATCTATTTCCTCCATAAAATTCCCACTAAGAGATCAGAGGAAACAGCTTGGGGTGCCCAGGAACAAGAGAAACTGCTCTTGGGGCTGATACATTTGTGTCTATCTGTGGACCTATATAATAAAGCAGGACAGATTTTACACCAGGACGGCAGTATTAGGACACACTAACACAATAATACACACAAATAGACTAGAAAATATAGGTTACACATTTCAGAGATTTTCAGACCTTTAGCAGATCTTTTTTTCAAGAAAATCTTAACTGAAATTACAACATGTGAAAGAGACAGACCAGTAAATAGGCTCTTCTGGGAGTTCAAATCCTCATTACTGGCAAAAACTTTTCACATCTGCAGAACCTCTGTGTAACTTACTTGGGGGCACTAGGGCTCTGAAGAGAACTTTCAAACCAAGGTACATTTTTTGAGAAGTTAAAAAAAATTAGAAAGGGGTCGGGGATTTAGCTCAGCGGCATAAGCACCTGCCTTGCAAGCAGGCAGTTGTGAGTTCGATCCCTGGTACTGATAAAAACAAAAAAGACAAAAAAAAATAATAATAATAAATTAAATAAATAAAATTAGAAAACCAAAAGCACACACTTAAAAAGGCCAAAGAGCACTTCCTGGTAACAGAAATATTCCAAGACTGGATTATAGTGATAGCTTTACAACCCTAGAAATCTGCTAAAAACCACTGCATTGTACACTTACAGTGGGTAAATTTTACAGTATGGAAATTATACCTCAATAAAGTTCAGAGTCTTCTAAAGTGTGCCTAGACCTCTCACCTAAAGTCAAACACAACTGTTTCTCTCAGTGGTAAGAAATGGTCACTGGTCCCCTGCTGCCATCTGCCTCCTATCCCACTCCCTCTGTGCCCACTGTCTGCCCAGGGTGAGACCCACCCCAGGCTCCCCCTGGCCTCAGAGGTCAGCTCCACCCACCACTGTGTCTGCTCTGAGGCCATGGCTGTCACTTGTGTTCGCTTTTCACACCTCCCCTCCTAGGGCCGAGCCAGGCCTGTCCAGCCCCAGTGCCCATGCCCCACGTGCTGATCACTCCTCACTCACAGCCAGGTGAATCCTCCAAAATTCTGCTCTTGTCCGTTCATCAAGGCCCATTTCAAATTCCTCCCCTTCTGGGAAGTTCCCCGGTGTTTAAACACATGAACACACATACACACATATTAAAGAATACACAGCACCCAAAAGGCTAAGGATTGTACTACATTGCCCATGAGAAAAAATGCAGCAAAGCGCATGAAACCAGGTTAAACTCCTTACATCCACGAGTTTAACAATATCGAAGTGATAAAAGATCTGCAGATGCTGTGCGTGCTGGCAGACCAGAGACCTACTGCCTTTGTCTTACACATCCCTGACACCAGGTCACTGAGGACTGTGGTGACAGCTCGGTGTCTGTTGACTGTCTGAGGGATGAACTGGTACAAACAGCAAGACATGGACGTGGCCTCCGAATCCTCAGCAGACACGCGGCCTCCCTGAGCTACATGGACAGCATCCAGCGAGCTGCCGGCATGCTTACTCCTCCCAAGATGGTTTTGACGACCTCCTCGCTGCCAGAGACGCCCCACAGCAGGGTGCAGGTGGTGGCTCCCATCTCTGTACAGTATTCTGCCTGCTGCAGGAGCTGCTGCTTTGCTTCATTCAGCTGCTGTTGAAGAGCCAGTTTTTCCTAAATTCACAACAGAATAAAATCAGAAAAACACACTCTTCGACCTTTAAATATATTACAGCGCCTCTTTCATTGAGATACTGATTAAGGAAATGCCTTCAGAATTGTAGAAAACAGCTGCAAATAAAAATTAGTCTTTAAGAGTCATTAATCCATATCTATAAAGTAGATTCCAGAGTCTTGGAAAAGAACATACAGCTACATTATGGCTTTAGCTAAATGCAAAAGATCTGAATCCACCGCATTAAGTAAAGTCACAACAGAGGCATCTCAAGTGCCCAGTGCCACCCCCAGAAAAGCACCAATGGGGACTCCTGAGCAAAGCAGCAATTAAACATGCAGTCCACACCCAGGGCAGCACTTCTGCTTCTGTGTGGCTCACCCCACTGTCCAGACATCATGGATTGGAAGTAGACAGAATGAAGGCGCTCGGACACCCCAAAGGATTCAAGGAGAAGTGCTGTACAAAGACTCTTTCTGGATAAACACACCCTCAAATCTTCATGAGAACACGGTCCAAAATGCTGGTAAATATCAAATACATATCTGTGAAGCTAGACAGGGCATGAAGCCCAGAACCAAGACCAGGAGGAAAGCTAAGCACACGGGCAGGAGTGGAGGCAGGGTCCTGGGCAAATCCTAACATGGGACTAGGGGCCAGGACAGGATTCTCACCCTCCCTTCTGCAGTGTCTGAGAACACCGGAAGCTAAGCAAGTCTCTGCCAGGTTTTCTTTAAGGAGAAGGACAAGGAACTTCCCTCTTGACAGCCTCTGACCACGTGAGCACACCCCAAGGATTTACCTTAGGGGTTCTAAGGGCAGAGGGGTCCTCCACCAGAAGTACCTGAAATGCCCTTGAAAGGAGACAGCAATTCCTGACCTAAGAGACAAACTGGACTGGTGGTATGGCTCACTGACAGGGCACCTGCCTGCATGTACGGGGCCCTGGGTCTGATTTCCAGCATGGGGCAAAGGGACACAAAAATATAAAAACCTAAGTTTGCATATGCAAATATAATTGCTTGCGTAAATCACACGGTTAAAGTACATTAGATGTTCTAGGGGTTTCTGAGAAGTAAGCACAGGACAGTTAGAGGAGAAAGGGCTTGTGGTCTCTGGGAGAAACGATCAGATGTCGCTGACCTCCTCTCTTGGCAGAAAGTGGCCGTGCATTAGGACAGAGCTACACACACACACATCACACACATGCTTCTTCCAGGAGAAAATGGGCCCTGGAGCCCACGCCGAATGCTGACACTACCTGACATGACCTGCGGAGCCCTTGTGTTCCCCACTTGCCTCACAAGGCAGCGGGATTCCCTGACTTGCCAACCAGGCAAGCGTAGCTCAGTGCACTCACCAGTAGGCAGCACTTTACGGCAGCGTTTTCCTTTCGGAACCCAGCTGCTCTTAACACGCAAGGGGTTTGCGTTCCTCCTGGTCTGGCTGTGGTGTTCTCCAGCAAGGTCACAGAGGAAGCACTGGCAGTGGCAGCAGGACGGTCCCCACGGCCACACGTGGTGGTTGCAGGAGCAGCACCACAGCACACTGCACGCACAGCATGATGACATCCCAAGAACCTTGAAGAAGACCACATATTCACAAAAACCTCACAGGTAGGATAGCAGCAGTAAGCTTTGCAAAACGGACATGAGTCATGCTGCATGGTAAATGCTAGACAGCGTCACAGAGAAAGCGCAGAGCTGCATAAACAGGGATGTATACCGTGCTTACGCACTGAAGATCTAACGCTGGTAAGATGACAGTTCTCCCCAAAGTGATCCGCAGAGCCAACACAGCCCCGTAAACCTCAATGGATTTTTCTGTACAACGTAATAGTGTGACTCTAAAATTCATAGGGAAAATATTAAAAATATCTAAAAAGTGTCTGAGAAGAAATATTCAATCCTTTGAATTGCAAAATATTCAAAATATCCAAAAAGTGTCTGAGAAGAAATAACAAAGCTAGAGCACCAGCACTGCCACATTAACACAAAATGAAACAGTATAAAGCCACAGAATACAAACCAGTGTGGTACTGGCATTAGGACAGGCAAGTAGAGCTGTGAAACACCCGAATTTTTCCATGTATTCATTCATTCACTCACTCATTGGTATGGGAGTTGAATCCAGGGCATTTGCACTGGGCCACATCCTCAGCCCTTTTTACATTTTTAAATTTATTTTTGAGGCAGGGTCTCACTGAGTTGCCTAAGTGGGGCTCAAACTTGCAATTCTCCTGCCTCAGCCTCCCAGAGTGTGCACCACCAACCCTGGCTCAAACACTAACATTTATGTCAAGTGATTTTTAACAAAGATGCCGAAGTAATTTTATGGAAAAATATTAGACTTTCAAACAACTTGGGCTAAGACTACATATTTATATGCAGAAAATATTAACTAAAAATGAATTATGCACTTTAATGTAAAACTTCTCAAAGGAAGTCTTTGTGACTGTGGATTAGGCAAGTATTCCTTAGACACGTCACAATGAAATCATGACCTGCTTAAAGGGAAATAAACTGAACTCCACCAAAATGTCAAACTTTGACTCTTCAAAAGACATCTGTGAAAAAACTAAAATTCAAGCCATTTACCAAGAGTAACTACATCTAATCACATACAGTCTGTCCTATATAACTGATGTTCCAAATCCACTGATTTGTCAACAAGGATTGAAAATACTCAGAAAAAAAAACTATCTGTGCTAAATACATGCATACTTTTTTGTCTTGTCAAACAGCCCCAAACAATACACAACATCTTCACATTTACACTGCATTAGGCCTAAGTCAACAGAGATTTTGATTTAAAATATATGGTAGAATATGTCTACATTGTAAGAAATACTACACCATTTCCCATTAGGAACCTGAACACCAGCAGATTCCCACATGAAACCTGCTGGGAACCAATGCCCTTCAGATACTGAGGGAGGAATGTGTCTGTAAGAGGTTTTTCCCTCCAGCTCATATAAAGAAATTCCAATTCAATAAAACTGATTAAAAACAGGAAAAACACCCCAACAGACATTCCACCCAAGAAACCGTAAGAAGGACTGGTATGTACAGGAAGAGGTGTTCAATGTGATTAGACATGGGAACCCCCATGTGGGCTCCTCTAAGGCAGGACCCTCACACAACACTGGGTGAGTGTGAAATGGCACAACAACTCAGAAGTTTCCAAGGAAGCAAACCACACTTAAAACCCAACAATGTCATTCCTTGACATCATCGGAAGAAGAATGAAAACAAGTCCCCTCAGAAACTTGTACATGACTGTTCAAGTGGCAATATTTAAATACTGGAAACATTCCAAATGTCCAACAACCAGTGATTGGACACAGAGAATGAAACTTATCTGTATAACAGGATATCATGTGGAGATAAAAGCAAACAACTGATACTTACCTTGCCATAAATGAACCTTTAAAACATCATGCTAGCTGGGCATAGTGGCACACACCTATAACCCCAGCACTTGGCAGGCTAAGCAGAAGGAATGTGAGTTCAAGGCTATCCAGGCACTGGAGTGAGATCAAGGGCAACCTAGATTACATACCAAGAGCCTGTCTCAAAAGCAAGCAAACTAACAAAAATTATGCTAGCCACAAAACACTATGTGTTACATGATTCTGTTTCTATGAAATGTCCAGAAAAGACAAATCTAGACACAAAAAGTAGACCAGTGGTTGCCTAGGGCTCAGTAAGAGAGCAGGGGCTAAATACAAGAGGTACATGACAGAAATATTTAAAAACCTGATTGGACAAAGTCCGATAGTCCCTCATTGTGATTATTAATTGTGATATATGAACTCAACTTGAGCAAGAACAGCCCACAGTTCAATAAGTTCTGGGTGTGGCTGAGGTTCTTGAAATGTAGGCCAGCAAACCAAGGAGAGGTGGTGCGATCCACCCTGGAGGTGGCACTAGTTAATAGGCTTGCAGCTTGGACAGAAACAAGGGAAGGAAAAAGGAAGTGCTGTCCTGCTTGTTTGGTTTTTGTTGTTGTTTTGAGGAACTCCAGTCTTGGCCATTGCATTTGGGTACTGGTCTCCAGTTCCTTTACCTATCCTTCTAGCATATTCTTCAGCCTTCCAGTATAGACTCTTTGTCTTTCTGGCACAGTCTCACATTGTGACTCTGCATTGAGCTTCCAGGCCATTGCCCCTCAACTGCTGCTAGACCTTCCAGCTCTCTAGTGAGCAGACAACCATTTTGGATTTTGCCATCTCTGATTCAACAGACGGCCACTGGGACTCTTCCATCTCTGATCTTACAAGCTTTCTAATAAATCCCTTGAACAATCCTACCTATATTTTTTTATTGAAACTGTTCCTCTTGAAAACCTAACTAATACATACTCTGGTACCAGTAGTGGGGTTGCTGCTGTGACTGCTCAAACATATGGTTCAGAAGCCTCGGGAATTGATTTGTGAGAGGAGCTGGAAAAGTCTTGGAAATGCCAGATAGAAAGAAGCCCTAGAACGCTGTCAGCTGAGCTGGACAGGAGATTTTGACCAGAGCTCCAAAGAATGGAAAGCAGTCAGACCAGAATGCGAAGACCAGGCTCAGGCAACAAGAACTCATTTGGCAGCTAAACTCAAGACCATTTGTGTTCACTCTGATAGAAAACTCTGCCTACATTTGGCTCACATCCTGAGATTTTGCCACAGACTAAGATTAAGAGCAGTAAACTAACCTGGTAGCAGAAATTCCAAATCCAGAAAAGTCACAGGATATAAGAAAAACACAAGCAACTGCATATTAACAGGCTAACAATGAAAAAGTACAAACCAAAATTAAAAAGCCCAAGCCCATTTACAATTTTCTAAAGAAAATGAAGTACTTAGGGAAAAAATATAACGCAACACATATGGAATCTGTATTGTGAAAATTAAAATGCTGGTGAAAGACATTAAAGACAAATAGATAGACATGTTATGTTCATGAACGAAAGATTCAACACAGATAAGATAATTCTCCACAAACTGATCTACAGATTCCGATCAAATTCCCAGCAAAATATTTTTTGGGCACTGATCCTATAATGGAGGGGAAAAACTCAAAGGATATAATGTAGCTAAGACAAAAGTCTGTGATTCCTGTCCCGACTGCACAGATCACAGGGAGGAACCTGGAAACCCATTTTAGACTTGAGGAAGCAGGAGAGCACCGGGGCTTGGATCCCTGTTTAGAGTACTGCCGGCACACACTTCCGTGTCAGGGAAGGCAGAGATGACTTAATCCAGCATCTGAGGAAAGGCCAGCAGGCCACAGGGAGTCAGCATCAGGGAGAGGGGTGCTGAGTGACAGCAGCCATTCTCAGGCCCCCGTGGAAGGCTCCGATTACAGGCTTCATCCCAGCGTGGTGCGGCTAATTCCTCTCCCTCAAGTGACCTCAACTGCGTCAGTCAGCGAGGTGAGTCAAGACTGGGCGCCTCTTCAGGGTATGTGGAGCTGTCCAGGACAGAGTTCAGGCAGCAGCCACCCTTGTACCCTGGGAAGAAAGGCTCCTCTTTGTCGGCACAGGCACGACCGTTGGAGAGCACCCTATTGCTCTGGAAGGACTCGCAGCCACCTAAGTTTTGGTTCCACTGAGCGTCTGTGCCAGCAGCTTTGCCAGGTGGCCCGAATCTCCCCAGTGTCAACGGTGATCACGGGTGGTGCAGGTGTTCCAGGGCTCACTGTGGCCCTGTGCTTTCTGTGGGCTTTTTCCTGGTGGCGTACACTTTTCAGTCAGCAAACCAACTGGGATCTCATCTGCCTATTTTTTGCTATTTGTATTCTTATTTTCTGTATTTCAATTTGTTAGGGAAGAATGGTTACTTTTATGACAGTAAAAAGTAAGTGGTTGCCAACATTAATGTTTCAATAAATTTTTTAAAGAAAAAATTCACAGTATAATTCAGCTAAGATCAAAAATAAACTATAGTTTTTGAAAGAATCTTCAAAGTTTGTGCCTGATGCCCTATTATGTATAAGTCTACCTCAACGAGGGAAAATTCCGGGGGATGGAATCGTGCTTCTTTATAACAGCCTTATTCAGGTATAACCTGTATACCACCACTTTCTTCTTTTGTCAAGTCTGAGAACTCGTAGTTGGTTTATACAGCTATATGTTATTCCAGTGCAGTCTGAGGGATGCACAGCACAGGGCCACAGCAAACACTGCCACCCAAGAGAAATGCCCCACTGCAGCCACCACAAGGCATCATCTGTACCCACCTGGCTGGGCCACTCAGCAGGGGACCTGAGTGAAACAGAAGGCAGCGTGGGCTAAACCGGTGCCATAGTCTAACTGCGATCTGAGTATCGGGGCAGTAACAACACCCGAGTGCTGACCCCTACCACTACCATGGTAATGTCACCCTTCTGTACTGGCATTTACTGGCATAGCTTATTTTTAAGCATTATTCCTACAATGCCAGTAAAAAATCTATTTTCCCTTTGCCTACTAGTTTTTTTTTTTAAAAAGGAAATCTTAAGATTATGCTCAATAAATGCTTCAATCTTAAAAATATCTTAGAAATTTGAGGAAGGACAGGATTGATGGGTTCCATTTGTCACATTTTTCAGATTGCTGCAGGCCCAGTGGTCAAATTCCTTCAGACTATGAAATGTTCAGTCTGAAACTTCCCAACGCCCATTCTGGTTTATTCTGATCCAGATGGAACATGGCAAAACTACCTTTCAGCTTGAAGAAGGTGGAGCTTGGCCCAATTCGGCTGAAGAGCGCAGCTGCTTCCCATGCTGATGTGCATACTGGGGCTGGGCATGGCCAGAGGGCCAGAGACGCCCACAGACAGGGCTTCAGGCAGCTCTCACAGGAGGAGGCACCAGGTGGCACTCCCTCGACTGCCCGCCTCCCGCTTCTGGGGAGGACCTGCTGAGGCACCTGCGGGGACAGCCACTGCCACCTGCCAGCGCCCAGCCAACCTCAACACACACTAGTGGTTGTCATTAATTCTAACATTTCATGATTCAAAAACAGAAATATGTACAAGTCCCTCCTTTCTGTGGTTTTTTTTTTTTTTTTTTTTTTTTGATACTGAGCATCAAACACAGGGCCATTATACTGCGCTGTGTCCCCAGCCCTTTTACATTTCGTTTTGAGATCAGTCTCACTAAACTTAGGCCAGCTTTGAACCTGCAACCCTCTTGCCTCAGCTGCCTCGGCTGCTAGGGTTACAGGGATGCACCACTATACCTGGAATGAGCCTCTAATTTTACAAGTGGCAGAGTATGAGATGCAGTTTTATGGATATGAAAAGGAAATAAATTTGTCACCCAAAATATAAATCATTTTGAAGCAATATTATAGCTTCTAATTCTGAAATTTAAAAAGAAAAAAAATATATATATATATATGAGACAGGATCTCTATGCAGTTCGGGCAGGCCTTGATCTCGCTTTGTAGCCCAGGCTGGTCTTGAACTCACAATGATCCTCCTGCCTCAGCCTCCTGAGTGCTGGGATTACAGGCATGAGCCACCACACCTGGCCATGATTAGTTATTCCTAAAATGTCAGTAAGTAATACATGATTATACATCCAGCTCCAATGTAAGTCATCATATGCACCATGTTTTTCCCTGGATTCGTACTTTGTCATGAACCTTATGGCCTTCATATTTTGGAGTTAACTTTTCTAAATATGAAAACAGAAATGCACCAAATGAAGAACCTACATGCTAAATGGTTACAGAGTCCAACTGCTCACGCATCTTCCAAGCCATGCAGGATACGGCCATCTAAAAATCACCATCTCTTGAGGATGAGGGGAGAAATGTAAGAGCTGCCGCTGCTAATGGGTGAAGGGCAGGAAACCAGCGAAGCCTTCCGGACGCGGCTGAAGAGCCTGTCCTGGTCACCTACCTTCTTCTCCCTTCCACAGTCGGCCTGCAGGGTTTCCAAGCGGGCTTTGAAATGCTCACGGTCCAGTTTTAGCTGCTCCAATTCTTGCTCTTTCATTTCCAGGTCTACAAGAAAGAGACACAACAACACTCCAGAGACATAAACCACAAATCCCTCCTAGGCATCTGTGTACCCCATCTTCACTTAGGACAGCCTAGACTGACTGCTTGGGTCAGAATATGCAAGCTTCTGATGGCTTTCTGCCCCTGAACAACCAGTACTCTCCCATTGTTTTTGTTGGGTTATCAGTTTTTAGCCCAGAGCAGAAAGGACCTCTTTCGCTGCTTTGCTATGTGTTTTGATGGCCTCCCTTTACTGCCAAACGTGTACTCAAGACTGCAAGAATGTGTTATTTAAAGGGCTGAAGGCAGAGCTGCGGAGCCCGGCTGTCTTGTGGCACAGACTTGGATCTGCTCTGTAGAAACAGAAGGCAGCCTGGTGTGGAGACGCTGCCAGCGGGGCTGATTCACAAAGCGAGTCCCACAGCCTGGCAGATGGCTCAATGGAACAACTGCATAGCAGTCACCACGGGGGCAGCCGCAGAGCCCACGATGAAAGAACACCGTGGTGAGGGGGAGGAACTACGTGTACTACTTCCTCTCTACTACATTCATGGCTGGATGAGTCAAACAGCCAACAAAATCCCCAAGGGAGCCACATCAGTAAGTTAAAGTATTACCGACTTTACATGCTATGCTATAGAATACCAATGTTCAATCAAACACGGGGCTGGGACCCAGCTCAGTGATGCGGAGTTTGCTCTTCCAGGCTAACAAATCATCTAGTACATGCCACACGACAACAGAGAGTGAGAGTGGAGGGGAACCAGTGCCAGGGGCGACCTGTGTGGCTTCTCTTACTGGGACAATAACATGTCAGGACAGTGGTTCCTAAGTTCAGTGCACATTGGGGTCAGCAGCGACACGTGGGCCCCATCCATGCAGTTTTGGGTTCGGCTGGCCTGGGGTGGACTGGAAAACCTAACATTCCTAACATGTTCTTAGGTATGGCAGCTGCCGCAAGGCTGAGGATCACCGAGAAGAACCTGATCACTCATCACCAGCAAGTAAGGCACGCGGGACCCAAGCCCAGAGCCCACCAGGGGGCGCTCGGCTACAGCACTGAGGAGGTGGCTGGAGGCAGGGAGATCTTGGTGAGGGCAGGAGCTGTAGCGGCAGATGCCTGCAAACAGACCCTGACTCCACCCTCCAGCAGAAAAAGCTCACTGTGTGCTACAGAGAGGCTGGGTTTACAACCTGGGGGTCCCGGAAGGCAGCAGGAAGCCTGCTTACCATCCTGTGAGGACTGCTGGCATGCCCAAAGCTGATGGGAGACAAAAGGCCTCTCAAGTTTTCTAGAGACCCCACGAAGAGTGGTCTCTGAGCCAGTAAGCAGACCACCTAGAAATAAAAGAATTGCCTGGAAAGCTTCTCTTAAAACATGCTCCTTAGGAAGTAGGGTGAAGTCACTGTGGGCTATTTCTTTTCTGGTCTTTTAAGATATCTAGCGCTACATGACTTTTACTGGAATTATTTTGTCACACTGATCCTGGCCATCTAAGAGCTATCAGTGGAGCACTACACTTTAAAAACTACTTAAGGGGTTGGGGATTTGGCTCTGCAGTGTAAGTGCCTGCCTGGCAAGCACAAGGTCCTAAATTCGATCCCGGGTACCAAACAAAGCTACTTAAAACTACATGAATGCACACTGTTAACAGTGTAAATGAAAGCATAGTCAAAACATATATGTACATATTACAATCATATATGAAATTCCACCACACACAGATAAAAAGAAACAAGGTAAAAAGAGTTAAAATTTTCAGCGGTTTGTCCAGGAGTGGTAACACACACCTGTACTCCCAGCACTCTGGATGGCTGAGGGGAGAAGTATGAAACATTCAAGTCCAGCCTGGCCACTAGTGACTTAGTGAGACCCAATTCTCTCTCTCTCTCTTTTTTTTTTTTTGGTCTTTTTGAGACAGGGTCTCTATGCAGTTCAGGCTGGCCTTGAACTCACTTTGTAGCGCAGGCTGGTCTCGAACTTACAATGATCCTCCTGCCTCAGTCTCCCGATTGCTGGGATTACAGGCGTGAGCCACCACGCTTGGCTGAGACCCAATTCTCAAAATGAAAAATTTAAAGAGGGCTGGGGATACAGTCCAGCGCAAAGGTCCTGGGTTCAGTCCCCAGTATGGATACAGACAGATGCAGCTACAGAGATACAGATATCAGTGGTTCAGTGTTTTCTTTGCAGATAACTCTTAGCTTGCTTCTTCTATTAAACTGTGTATTACATGAACGTGGTAAAGAAAGAAAATTGTATTTCCACACCCTCAGCTCATACTGCAGGAATGCTTGGGAAAGTGTCCCCAAGTCACCTGCACTACAGCATCCCACAGCCTCCTGTGCTGTGTGGTTGTGTGGATCCTACAGTGGGTTAGTTCAGCAGGGCAACAGGGTCAGAGTGAAGCACCCATCAACAAGCAAAGCCATAAAACTCCGGAGGGGGTGTGTGTGTGTGAGGGACGCCATACCCACCCACCCACAGCAGCCCCAGAGGCACATGGCGCTTTTCCGCTGTGTACGGCTGCCACCTTGTGGCCAGAATAGAGCACTGTTGCTGTCTCCTTTACCCATCACACCTGTCTCAGTCAGTCTGGCTCCCTGGTTGTCTCCTTCCACCTTGAGGACTGAGGCTTTCCCCGATTTTGTTTTATGCTGCACCTAAAATCGTATGTGGAACACCGTCCGCACTACCTAGATACTTACCACATTAACGAACTTCACTGCTGTATATTTCTTCAGCTTTGAACAGAGTTAAAAACAGGGTTACATCCTGGTTTTCTAGAGGTCACCTTCCTCTGTAATGAGGATGCATTGTCTGCAATTTCTTTAAAAACCCAGGACACAATGCAACAGGCAGCAAATGACAAATATGGTGAAGACATCCTCTAACCAGGGACCGCTGCCCAGCCCAGCCTGTGTGTCAGCTGTGACGTGTCAGCACTCAGAACGAAGGCGAAATCTCAGCCTGTGCTCAGGAGTGAGGCTGGACACGGCACAGTGGTCGCCAAGCCTCACACTATGTCAGGGTCTATGGATTTTTGCAAATTGCAATGCTTTTTGGGAGGGTTGTTCTTGGTTTTTGGTACTGGGAATGGAACTCAGGGCCTCACATTTGCAGCCAGGCACTATGCTGCTGGCTACATCCCAGGCCCTTACAATTCTCTTTCCATGATGGAGTTTTAAATAACATGAGGACCACTGCTGTCTTTTAGTGCTTAACTTACTCGCAAGGAGGGCTCAGAGAGTTGTGAAAAGCAGGACTTCTAAAACATTCATCAAAGAAATTAAGACCATGCAGAAGGGGGTCTGGATATATAGCTCGATGACACAGTACCTGCCCAGCAAGTGTGAGGTCGTGGATCACTTTTTCCTACTTTTTATTGCCTGCATGTTTATAACAAATCAACTATCTTAAATATGAAAATGTTTTTGATCAAAATAGCAAAGAGTCACAAAATAAGAACACAGGCTTTTTATGCTTATATATGCACAGCCACGAACTTTTACCTTCTTATCACCCTGACAGGCTCGTAAAAGAACTCAGAGTGCCCCCTGGAAGGCTGCATCATCCTTGAGCTAGGATTTGCGGAGTGTATTAGTTTCCTTGCGGCCATGGGGACAGCCACAGACTGGGTGGCTTAGAACAATCAAATGTCCTCACTCACCAGTCTGGAGGCCACAAATCATGGTGTCACCGGGGTCACCCGCCTCTGAAATCTGGAAGGGACGGGTCCTTCTGGGAGCCCCAGGCACTCCCTGATTGGCGACAGCCTTTCCGGTCTCTGCAGACACCTCGTGTGGACTCATGGTGTCCTCACTCTCTTCTGTATCCCATTCCCCTTTTCTAAGGATGCGTCAGGCGGGAGGAAGGCCCAGAGCATGGCCGCGTGTTAACGTCATTGCCTCTGTGCAGACCTCTGTCCAACGAAGGTCCCACTCTGAGGAAGCAGGGACTGAGTCTCGACACAGCTTTTTGGGGTGGGAGGGACTCCATAAGCTGCAGAGCCACCTCCTTCACATGGGGCTGTGAGTCCCTTCCTGTCGGAGGCATTCCTCCTCACAGGGCTCCCCAGAGCACTCAGTCCGTCTCCAGGGCGATTCTGCATCCTTTGGGGCCCCACAAATAATTCCGAGGATGTTTTATGTTTTCTTGGGGGTGCTCCGTATGTGAGCAGACCTTCCTCCCACTCGGTCAACTCCGGTAACCACCGCATTTCTCATGGGTTTCAAACTAGATTAAAAGTCGGAATATTCCACAGTGCATCTTTTACAAAAATACCTCAGTTAAAGGCCTCAGTGCATCTGAAATGCTAAACATTCCAGCTGTCAAAATTTTTAAACAAACCAGTTAAAGCAGAGCATGAAAATACCTCTTTTTTCCTACACTGATGAAAATCTGCATCCAAAACCATGTCTCTGCTCTAACAGCAAACTGGCCCTCCTACTTACAAGATGAGGATGCTCAACCTACAAGAACCTGCCCTGTCCCGCCGCCGCCCACGGATGTGGCACCAGCTGGCATCAGTCACTTTTCCTACATGAGTGGCGAAACTCCCAACCCTCTCCCATTTTATGTCTCCACAGCAGGAAGTGGTGCCTGACAGATATCAGGCAGACACTGACTGACTCACTGATTGACTGATCAGCTTGAAAATAAATCCACAGCCTTGATGACAATGACAACAGCCCTAATGCTGAACTTACTGAACTCAATGAATGATAAAGCCTTTCCCGGAACAGTTTCATCTGTGGACACACTGACGGGATGTGGGCGGCTGGGCAGTTAGGAGTGACACTCAAACATCCCTTGCCCCTGTCCTCCTCCATCCTGAGGACCGCTCACCTCCTCTCTCCAGGACCCCTTTCTGCTTCCCTTTTGACCCCCACACCACCCTGGGGTTCCAGGAAGCCTCCATGAGCCCTGCAGTGCCTTCTCCATCCTACTGTCCCCAAAAGCAGGTGTATACAGATACCGCAGCTGGGCTGCTTGTCTCCTGGCTTCCTGCTGGATGCGGGCAGTGGGAGGCTCCACAGGAAGCAGGAGACAGGACGTTGGCCTCCCAGCCACATCCTCCCTTCCAGGTAGCGGTGGTGCTGCCAGCGCCTTCCCTACACAGCACACGGCCTCCCGCTCCTCCAGGCCTAAGAGGTGACAGTGGGCTGGGCCTGGGCACTTCCCTCTCTGCTTGCCAGCTCCCTGAGCCCTGCCTGCGCCCATTCCTGTGTCCCTGGCCGGGACGTGGACTGACGCCGGCTCCTCCGGGCCGGGGAACTCTGGCTTGGCCTAATCTCCTCCTGGAGCTCACACTGCTCCCCCACTCCCGCTGGCCACGCTGCTTTACGCTCCTACAGACCTGGGCTAAGCGAAGGTCTCCCTCGCTCTTCACTAATGTCAAGTGACCCAAAATGCCCATCTGATTCTGTGTAGGCCAGGCTGGCCCTGGACTCATGATCCTCCTATCTCAGCCTCCCAAGTGCAGGGATTACAAGTATGTGCCCCACACCCAGCCACACAAACACTTTAAAAATCACCCTGTACAGTGGTTTTCAAGTCCTACTGTGGACCTCTGAGAGTGCTTTAAACACAGTTACAGTTTGATAAACATTTGAGTAGTACTTCCATTTTACAATGTTTTAAAAGAATTTTTTTGGAAATAATTTCAGACTCACAACAAGTTGCATGAATAAAAATAATACAAAGAATACTCTTCTTCTTTTTCTCCAGCATTACCTAGCACATTGCCACACTTGCTCACCATTTAGAGAGCTTTCCTCCACCTCTCCTGACTACTTGAGGGTTAATTATGTACCATGGCCCTTTGATCCTAAATTGTTCAGTGACTATTTCCCAAGAACAGAGATGTCAGCCAGGGGTGGTGGTGCACACCTGTAATCCCAGCACTTGGGAGGCCGGGGCAGGAGGACTGCTGAGTCTGTGACCAGACTGGACTATGGAGTAAATTCAAAGCCAGCCTGAACTACATAGCAAGGCTCTGTCAAGATAGACAGACAGACAGACAGAGGTCTTAGATATCCAAAATACAGTTATCAACTACAGGAAAATTAAATGCTTCATTTTGAACTATAGCCCCACATTATCCTTTACAGCATTGTCCTCCTACAAGTTCAGGATCACCTAGTTGTCTTTTATCTTTAGCCCCCTTAATTTGGAGCATCTCTAAGTCCTCTCTTCTGGTATGACACTACAGCATACTTTTTTTTAACAATTTGAAAACCAAGACTTCCATTTCTATTATGCTATGGGTACAGAAGATCAGTTTTTCCACCAACAGCAACTTAACTCACACAGTAAATGGGAACAAAGCCACACTGGTGGTGGCGGCAGCACAGGCAGGTGCGCCATCTAACAGGGAGAGCTTGTGCCTGGTGCTAGAGCAGGCAATGAATGGGCCAAGGCTGTGTCCAGAGATACTCAAGAGTGATACCTCTGAGCCCACAGTATGCTCATGTTTAGGCCCTGAGGTGGGAGTGGGTTTGGTGGTGTTCACAGCAACTGGCTGGTCGCTATCCTAAGAGCAAGGAGCAGCCACTGAAGCCCTGAGCAGGGGACCAGTGTAATAGGACTGCACAGTCAAAAACTGCTCAGGCTGGTGACTGGGGGGCGGGATGCTGCCCCATGCAAGCTCAGAGATTTAGGCAAAATGTGGTGGTGGAGATGGAGATATATCAGTATGCTTTTCCAGGATAAAATGCACTGGCCTCATTGGTGGACAGGTTTCTAGGGAAGCAGGGAGGAGAGACAAGTGACGCCAGGGTCTCTATTCTCGCAGGCAGTGCTCTGAGGAGACTGCAGCAGGCTGGCGTGAGATGAAGGAAAGGGAGGGTTAACATGACTCAGGTGTGAGAAAGCAAAAATTACTCTGCTTTCTGAGGAAGTGACAATCTGTCCTGCCTTTTGCCAGGCTGAACAGCAGACACAGATAAAGCCAGGGACACAGTTAACAGGAAATATGCCTCCCAAGGACACTGTACCTGAAAAGTGTCACAGTGACCCTTTCTTTGACTGAGTGAATTCTCATTCACTGAGAAACTTCAGTCTGCAAACTCTCAGAAATTTACTACTTGAGGTTTTACTTAAGAAGAAAACACCACTCGCCTGCAGTCACTGTGACACAGAGAGGCAGCTTTGATGTCCTGTTTGCCACAGAGCTGTCATGAAGGGATCTCCTGTCTATTTGAATTTTGTAGGTTTCAGGCAACCAAGTCCTGGATCCACTCCACAGGTAGACTTACACTGCATCTCTACACAGTTTCAATTCATTTCACAGCACCTAAACTCCAAGTCCCTGTGACAATTCTAACCTCTTCTCTGTTCGACAAGATGCTTCTTGGGTTTCTCTTCCATCTGGTCTCCCACACTGCAATCAACCACAAACCTGACCTTGTCAGACTTCAGCTCCATTCCTGGTGGCCTCGACCTGACCAGGTAGGACAGACATTTAGATTCAGAAATGGATTGATTCCCAGAATGCTCTTCCCTGTGGGAAAAAACCTGAAATTATTTTAAAACAAGAAAAAATGCCAAATAGGAGTCAGACGCAGGGCCCTGAGCTTGGAGAAGTCAGGGGTACAGATAAATCCAGCAGGGTCTGCCTTCAAAATGGTAGCTAACCCGAAGAGTCTCGGAGCTGAGAAGGGTTCTAGGCCTGGGCCTCAAGCCACTCCACCATGTCTTCACTGCTGAGCAGAGAACGGCACATGAGCAAAGGAGAGCAAGAGAGCACAGGGAAAGAGGTGACAACACAGCCTGGGGAAGGAAGGCGAGGAGCCACAAGCAAAGATCTCCCAGTCTTCCTGACCAGCTCCTCCAGTGTAGCCCTCAGTGAGGTCTGGACAGAGGACTGAGCTCCAAACATCACCTCACACTGACTCGTGACACCCTACTGTATTTTTCAGAATGCCAGTTCATGACTTTACAGTGAAATGTAACATGACAGCAGGCTGCACACTCTGCCAAGTAGCATTTCCCTTTCCTGGAGAGAAAATGCACAAGGAATGACTGGTTACTCTTGGAAGCTGCTAGATGAGATCAGAACAAAGCAGGCTAGGAATTCAGACCTGCCGTCCCAATAAGAAAGAGAGGGGTCTATTTACAGATGAAAGAACAGGAATAAAGGACTCAACAAAGAACAGGGAGAAATTCAGGGAGCAGCAGCAGCTTTACAGCTAATGGACCAACAAGAGGGAGACCAGAGCTCAGGGAGAGGTGGACAGTGGAGGAGGCCTGCAGGCAGGAACCCTGGTTGGAAGGGTACAGCCATGGCCAGAGAACCTTGGTCATGTTACCACCCCACCCCATCCAACACTGCCCTTCTCTGTGAGCTCTGCCAGGATGGACGTAAGGACTCCTAGGAGAATAGGGCAGGGCTGGATGGGAGCCATAAACATTCTTTTTTCTAACTGGACAGGGCTGGCCCATTAACCAGGGCATTTGTGCATATCAAAAACTCATATTCCTAAGTCCGGATACCTTCCTGTCTGGGCCCCTGGGATACTCCTTTTCTAGACACCACAACGTAATGACCGAGTCAAATGTGATGCGAAGGTTAACTACCCTCAAAAGCTGGCTATGCCAACCCAGCTCAGTTCTGGACTTTAATAGGCTCCCAGACTGCTACATGACAGAATGGCTCAGCTCAAATCTCAACAGTCTGAGCAAGTCCTGGCAATCTTGGACTTACAAGAGTGCTAGACACTGACTCTCCCATCTACCTAGTGACAAGTGAATCTCTGCACAGTTAACTTCATTTGAGGTCTCCATGTGAGAAGATTTTAACTTTCACAAGAATGAACTTAATTTTAAGAGTAGAAGTTTTCAGATATCAGTAGTATACAATTCTTCTAAGGAAGAGAGCAAAAACAAAGAGGCCAGATAGTCTAGAGAGCACTAATAGTACCTTTCTCCCAGCACCTACACACACATGTACAAATTACACACTGAGGGCATCTCTAAGCCTTTCTTACCTTTTATCTGACTCTCAAATGAAGTACAAGAACTGTACCAATTCTTTAAAATTTATTTACAATTACTTTACAGTATGTACCTAAGTCGGATTTGTTGGGAGGCATTACTATCACCAACAGCAAATGCTAAAAACAAAATTAAGACTCACGTTTTTCTAAAATCTTTAATTTCTGGAAGCTTTCTAGGAAATCTCCATTTAGTATTCTGGGTAAGAAGTCCCGTATTTGCATCACTTCAGTTGTCAGCCGGTCCAGGTCCTTCTTTCTGACTTTAACAAATTCTTCCTTAGTTCCCATCTGCTAAAAAAGTAAGCACAGTTTATGATTATTATGTTTCCTCTCAGTTAACTAAACTCAGCAGCCCAGGTCAACCTGCTTTTCTTCCATGCCTCTTATGTTTATAATTACGTCAAAGCAGGTCTCTACCTAACTAGCCTTCTGATAGATATAGATACAGATTGGGTAACACTTTGAGCGCTGAAGCCCCAGTCTTCAAAATGAGAATCACCCCAGCATGGTGTCAGACACCCAGCATCCCAGCTATTTGGCAGACTGAAGAGGCAGAAAAGCTTGAGCCTAGGAATTCAAGGCTACTTGGGGCAATATAGCCAGATCCCATCTCAGAAAGGAAAGACGGGGGATCCAAAAACTGAAGGGAAAAAAATGGGGTTAATTCAAGAACCCCATATCCAAAAGATATGGGTAGACATATTTCATTTTTTAAACAAAATGCCTGAAATTTAACATCACAGCACCAGGCTGATGGGAACAGAAGAAGGGCAACTCTTATGCTGGTCACAGCATCAAACATCACCCCAGAGTGGGAAGGGACCTTTTGAAGGCAGTACTATAGGATACCACAAGGAATCATGGCACAAGCAGCAAAACCACACCTGAGCTGCCTGCAGTACCCCACTCTCTCACACCCAGAGCAAGCGGTCTGGGCCTTTGGAGGGCACAGAGAGGCGAATGCCAGGTCCTGTGGCAGCCGCTTCACCCCACAAACTTCCCAAGAGACTTAGGCGAAGGCCGCCTCAGGCCTGAACCTGACCCGGCCTGGCCCAGCCCACACGGGCCCTGGGGACATCTCTTTGTGCATTAGGAGAGACCCTGAGGTGGGTCACACAGCAACCTGGGCCTCCCCACTGCCCCACTGACCCAGCAGACCTCCGTGCTTCCCGTTTCGTCCATGGCGGCGGCGTTGGCTCCGTGCGCCTGTGCGGCGCCCTCTGACCCCCGCACGCAAGAAAACGCGGGAGCGCGCCGGCGCTACATCCGGGTGGTCGGGATCGAGCGCCACGAGGCTCATACCGCTTGGACTCTGCACACCATTATCAGTCTGTAGTAGGCCAGTGGTGGCATCGGCAAAGGCCGCTTCTGCTCATCTGGCTTAGCCAGAGTTTCAAACTTAATTGCAAAGTGGAGGGAAAGTGAGACCCACCCAGTGTACACATCACGTGAAACGAACTGGTTCTTTCCCTGTTTGGCGACGGCGGCTGCAGCCAAAAGGATACCCTCTTTGCAGGTAATCTCGCCTACAGCCAGCAGCCCTTGTCCCTCGCTGAGCTCCAGGGACTTTTAGGTTAAGAAGTGTAGTTATTTTGGACTAATAACTAGTTGGGGTCTCCTAGTTCGCCCTAAATTTAGGGGAGTCACCTAGTTAAAGAACTTTCTCAGCATCCCCGCTAAATCCTTAAAACATGGTACAGCCTGGGGCTTTCCATGACTCCGAAGTTAGCACGACTCTTAAAGATTTGTTCATTCCGCCAAAGGCCAGCACCTGTTGCTGCCCTCAGGTGGTGTGTGTGTGCTCCTCAGGCCTGAGGACCTACCCGACCTGCCCCGGGGCACGGTGGGGAGGGGACGATCGCTGGCTGGGAAGAACCTGGTCCCGACCCCTTGTCTGCCCTCCTTCTGGGTCTCAACTCCCGACTGGGGGTCCTAGGAGCCCCACGGAAACCCGGTGGGTGGGCGACAGGTGAGCCACTGCCCGACGGGGTTTTGGGAAATGCGCTTAACGTCTGCCTCTTGCTGGCCAAGACCAGACCCTGGCTAACCGCGCCGCCAACGGACCAGAAGTTGAGCGGGCTATACTCAGGTAAGCACTGCGCTGACTGAGCCCAGATGCACCACCCACTGCCGAGGTGACGTTCTGGTGACGCCATCACTCCGCGCCACACCACTGCCACCGCAGCTTCTGCGCCGGTGCAGCCCGGGTAGCAGGCGCGCGGTCCGGAGTGCTCCGGCGGGCGTGATGGCTCCGGTCGTGCAGCCGGCGGAGATCCAGTTCGCTCAGCGGCTGGCGTCCAGCGAGAAGGCCGTCCGCGACCGGGCGGTGAGGAAACTGCGCCAGTACTTGAGCGTGAAGACGCAGAGGGAGACAGGTGGGCGCCCGCGGGTCAGCCGCGCCACATGGCGGCCGCGCCGCCGGCCGGGGGTTCGCAGTCGGCGCCATCGCGGGCTGTGCAGCCTCTTGTGCGCTGCGACTAGGGCGGCTCGCAGCCCAGGAAAACGGCCAGGGGTCCAGTCCTGTGCTGGACGTCAATGATCGGCGAAGGGAGACTGATCCAGGTCTGTGGGCTTTGGCGCCCGCGCCTCGGGACGCTGGGCTCGCCCCACTTTGCGGTTCTCCTCGCTGATTCCCGCCTTTCTTTGACCACGACACCTTTAGGTGCTGGGGCGCAGAAGACAAACAGCATCCCTGCCCTCGAGGAACTTTAGCAGTGAAGCGAGAGGGAAGTGGCAAGTAGAATAGAGCGCATGTGTGCAGGAAAGGCAGTGAAGACCAGGGAGTGGAAAAGTGAATGAGGGCGCTCCTCTCCAGAGGCTACTGGGAGAGCCTCGCACGGTGATGTCCAACCGAGATCCGGACAGACCGGAGAGGACGCCGGCCGTGCAGACGCAGGAAAGAGCTGAGCTGAGCTTGCCCTGGGAACGGTGGGAAGACCAGTAAGTTGGGGAAGAGGGTGTTTTGAGACGAGGTTGAAAATGGAGGCAGTGGCCAGATCCATCGGGGCTGCGGTGGGAGTGCTGCAGAAGTGTTTTATGTACCTGGACCAAAAGAGGTTCTCTGAGCCCTTGTGTGCATGCATCAGGTGTGAGCTGCACTGCGCTGGCCAGGTTTTTTGTTGCACTAAGTTGCCTAAAGTTCAGTTGCTGGTAATAGTACATTTGGAATCTGCTTAGAAGAATAAATATTCTCTCCTTGTGGCATTTGTGGTTTATGGTGAAGAGAAATCAAAAGAGCCATATCCCTCCTCTCCTCCCGAAAGAGGACACTTGGGAAGTCTAAGGAATGAAGACCAAAATTCCTGGCTTTGGGATCTCCCTGAAAGAGCCGTTTTACATGCCCAACCTCAAGCTGACTTAGCATGTGTGTTACGGTTCCTAAACCAGAGTTGCTAGCGCAGAGCTTTCCTGCTTGGCTGAGATGTGCCCTGTCAGCCTAGCACTCCATCTAGTTATCTCACAGACATTTCAAACTCAGTGCCCCAATTCCCCCCCCCCCCAAAGGACATCCTTCCTGCTCCAGCTCTAGCTGGACTAAGGGGTTGATTTCCCTGTTGCCCTGGAGGCTTCTCCCACCTAATGCATTGTCTCTTGACCTAGCACTTTCACTTTCTGAATTACTCTGTCCTTATCTAAGGAGGCTTTTCTCACCTAGACTTCCTGCCCAGCTTGCTCTCTAATTGATCTTGACTCCATTTGTGTTCCCCTGAATGTGTCTTCCACAGACCAGCCCAGGGTCTTCTTCCTAAAACAAAGCTGATTGCTCGGACCAGCTTCCTTGAAATGCAGTTTGTGGATCATAAAGTCTTCCTGTGCTGGTCTTCCCTAAGCCTGGTCGTGATTGTTGGCTGCTCCATCAGCAGAACCATCAGTGGTTCCTAGTGTACCACACACCATTTCTTACCTTCTTGCCTTTGTGTCCCCTCACTCTGCAAAGGATCCAGTACCCTCTCTACTCCCAACATCCAGCCAGGCATCCCTTCCTCCAGAAAGCCTCACCTAGCAGCTTCTCTGGGGGAGGGTAAGGCTGCTTCTCTGGGGGAATAATACCAATTTCTCACCCTAGTTACTTGGCAACCTTTAATTATGCATTGATGTATTGTCCCTCCCTCAAACCCTGTAAGTGTCCCATCCAGCCTTACGAGATGCTGTGGACAGGGGGAAGGACAGGTGCCATCCTTTGCCCCTGAGGCCTCCAACAGTGTGTTGTTGAAACCCCTCCAGTGAGTGGGACCAGGACCTCAAAGTGCAGGTGGCATGGGGGTCCCAAAGACAATCAATCTGCACTGCTGTGGCTTCTGCCTGCTTAACACCCGTCACGTCCGCAGACAGTTGCTGGTTCCCTGAGTACTACACGCAGTGCTATGAAGCAAGTGTGACTTATTAATGACAGAGTAAGTCACGTCTCTGCCACAGCTGTGCCTCATCAAAATAGAAACCCAAGTTTGGAAATAAGGCAGCCTGACATTTGACTCTCACTGACAAGCTCAAACGCTTTTGCACCTTGTTAAGAAACCTGAGATTTTATGCTATCACTGAAACTTGTATCCATCTGGCAGCAGCATACATAGATAGGTCTGTGATCCTAAAAAAACAAAGTGGGGATCTTTGAACTGCTTAAAATGGTGGGATCTAATTGAGCCTGGACTGCTCCAAGTTGAGTCCCTGCCACCAGGAAGCAGTCCCTGCCTGTGGCGCCTTTGTACTGATTGAGCCGTTCTTTCCCTGTGCAGCAAACACTGGTGACATGCCAGCTGTGTGCCATTATTACTCACCCTATTCTTGGTGCTGGGAATATAGCAGTGAACTGCAAAATTCCTGCCCTTCTGCACTGTAACAGTTAATGTTTGTGTTCCATAAGCAGTGATGTGGCTGCTTTGGTGGAAGTGACAGGGCAGGAGGAGGAAATTCAAGTGGGCTTTGAGCGTACTTGGACTGCAGGGTGGCTCCCATCTGAAATGGCTCCTGTTTCGGAGTGAATAGATGGTCTGTATTCTCATTTCAAAACTTGCTGCTGTTTCCTGTGTCTGCCTATCTTTACTTTCGGGTTCATCTCTCTTTTTTTTTTTCTTTTTGAGACGCGGTCTCGCTGTGCAGTTCAGTCTGGCTTTGAGCTCACTTTGTAGCCCAGGCTGGTCTCAAACTCACAGTCATCCTCAATTAAACCTAAATTGTTATCAGAAACTTAGTTGTGTTACGTTTAAGAAACTTGTCCCTAAGAATAAAAAGATAAATTCCACAAGCAATTGAAAGAGCACAAGTGTTGTTCACTTCTTAGAGTTTTGAAAGTAAGTATTATTTCTCTCCTTCTTGAATTGCCTCAAAAATTAGTATCTTGAGCCAGGTGTGATGGCTCACGCCTGTAATCCCAGCACTTGCAAGGCTGAGGCAGGAAGATCATTCTGAGTTCCAGGCCGGCCTGTGCTAAAAAGTGAGCCCAAGGCCAGCCTGAACTGCATAGCGAGACCCTGTCTCAAAAAGGCAAAAAAAAAAAAAAAAAATTGTTACCAACTAAATCCCTCTGGGAATCATTTTCTTTTCAATCAGATTTTATTGATACATTTCAGGTATCTGTAATAATCCCCTTCATCAGAGAGGATTTGTACCTCAGGTAACTTTCTCCCCATTCTTCTCCCCTCCCTTCAACCCCTCCCTTTCTCCCCTCCCTCTTTACAAAAGCTTTTCCATTTTATCCTTTTCTCATTGCTTTTTTAAAAAACTTCCCTTCTTTCCTTTCCCCCTTCCTTCTCTTGCTCCCCTCCCATTTGAAACGTTCTTCCTATTTCACAGTACCTAGTACATATTTTAGTCCTTGTTTATGCTTTTGGTTTCTCACACCAGAGAAACAGTGTGTTATTTATACACGTGTGTCTGACTTATTTCAGACCATGGGCACAAGGTGCACCCACTTTCCCAGCTATGTCTCTGGGATATGCTTTCTTGCAGCACAGTGGTTCTCCATTGTATAAAAACCACATCTTTACCCTGTCACCAGTTGCTGGCGCTTGGTTTGTTTCCATGATGTGGCTGTTAAAATCTGTGCTGATATAAATGTGAGTGTGTATATATCACTGTGGTGAGATGGGTTTCATTCTTCTGGGAAGGTCCCCAGGAGGAGAATGGCTGGGTTAAATGGGACCTCTAACCCTAGTTTTTTGTGGACTCTCTACAAGGATTTCCACAGTGGTTGTACCAGTTCACACTCCCACCAACAGAGAAGGACCCCTTTTTCCCAGAGCTCCCTGGCATTTGTTGTAGGTTGATTTCTTGATAATGCCTACAAATAACTTATTTTATATTTGTATTGAAAATAGATGTTTCTAAATGAAAATATATTTTCATTAGTTAGGATTCATAAGCTGCCACGTGACAGCCAAGCCAAGCCAGCTAGGTTTTTGCTTTTGGTCTTTTGAGACAGGGTCTTGGTGTATAGTTCAGGCTGGCTTTGGAACTCACTATGTAGCCAGGCTGGCCTTGAACCCATGGTGATCCTCCTGCCTCAGCCTCCAGAGTGCTAGGATGACAAGTGTGCACCACCACGCCCGACTTCCCTGAAAGGTCTTATGGCTGGGGGAATTCTGCGGATTTGGCTTAAGACCATTGCTGCAGCCGCCTCCCCTCCTTAGGATGAGTTCTGCCCAGACCTGGCCCCCCTGCTCAAAGCTGTGCTGTCCTGAGAGTGGGTAGCAAAGGGGAGGGATTGACAATGCAGCTGCTCCACCAACAGTGGGGCGCCCAGGGCTTGACCAGGCCTGACCTCCAGGGAACCCATTCCTTTAATCTTTTTGTTAAGTTCATTAACATCTGTAAAAAGAAGAAAGAAAAATAGTCCACGGGGTCCTTTCTATAATCCCACTCTTTTTCTGCTGAGGGCTAATCAGACTTAGTGTCCTCATTGTCTGATCTGCCCCCTCCTCCTTCCAGCTGGGTTCTTGGGGACCAATCCCAGGAGTGCCGCTGCAGATCCAGATACCTCAGTGTGCATCTCTGAAAGATAAGGACAGATAAACAACACTACCTGCATGCCTTTAGCTTCATGAAATATCAGACTGCTGAGTTGTCACACCCTTGCATGTGATTTTTGTGACAAATCAGAATCCAGACAAGACCTACCTTTAGGCTTCTGTTGGATTTTAACACGGCCCCCTCATACAGTTTATTTGTTGGTTCATTTGTCCTGTAGAATTTTGCACATAGGGATCTTGCCAGTTACATGCTGAGGTTCTAACATGTTCCTTTGCCCCTTGGATTTCCTGTAGTCTCCTAGGTAGGTTCAACACAGTCAAGAGTGCTCACTTTTAGTGTCTGTTTTTGTAAGAACACTTAAATGGCTGGTTTTTGTGTTTTCTGTGGCATCGAATGAAGGGTTACCTGTGGAAGCTTGGGTGGTGTTGGTTTGACCCACCCATTTTAAAGCCCCTCAGTGCCTTTTATCCATTGTTTTAGCAGCCTTGACTCTTATATCCAACAATTGGCTGGGGAAACACATAGCCTTTGAAAATGACCGGAATGGGGCAGGTCACCTGCCCCCCCCCCCAAGACACCCTTACTGTCATTGACTCTGCTCTGATGGCATCTGTGCCATGCTTGGATTCTTGTGTCAGAATCCCCAGAATCAAAATGCACCATTATAAAGTTGCTGATAAGCAAAGTCCACTGCAAAATACAGTAACCACCTGTCACCAGGAATCTATTTGTCACTTTTTTAAAAAAATCGCCTTATTGTGTCCTGAGATTACAGTAACTGGAAGTTTATGCTTGTCTGCATCCATCTGGTTTATTCCAGCCAGATGCCTCCAAAAGGTTTTTCCTGGAAGGCGTGGTGGTGCACATCTATAATCCTGGCACTGCGAAGCTGAGGCAGGAGAACCATAAGTGTGACCCCAGCCTGGGTAACTTGGTGACTTAGTGAGATCTTGTCTCAAAATTAAGGTTTTTGCTTGTACTTTCTAGTACTGTGTCATTAATAACACACAGGGATATTGGAAAATGTATTTGCGTTATAGTTCCGTGGTTCCTGGGCTTAGAGACGCTGAGAGCCTGTGCTTACCCCACACAATTTGTGATTCCTGGTGTTACTCAGCATGTTATTTCATGGTTCCTGGGGTGGCCCAAGGAAGTATGGACTGAAGGAGCCTGGTGGCTTTGTCCTGGATAGAAAGGCAGAGGGATGGCCCCTTGAGAGATTGGAGAGAGTGAGGCCCACCCAAAGATGCCACCTAAAACAGCCCGAAACTACCCAGCAGGTGCCGACTGTCAAGGAGAAAGGTGATTGCTATACTTGGGCCTCTTTTACCAAAAGATTCCATACTTGCCTCAGTTTCCCCGAGGCCTTTCCTGCCTTGAGTCTGCCCGTGGTGAAGGGCTTGCTGTGACCTGGAGGGTTTGAAGGTCTCATGTGCAAGGCCAGGGGACGTTTTGGTTTTGCAGGATGAGGGTGCAGCTTGGTATAAAGTGTGCCTCAGTGGGACCTGGTTTGAGAAGAGACCCCCTTGAGGATGTTTGGCTGTTCTTGTTGTAGTTTGGTTTGGTTTTGGTTTTGGCATTTTGGGGATGGAACCCTAGGCATGGGCTTTTCTGCTGAGCTGGTGCTCCCAGCCCCAAGGGTTGATTTTCGTTCTGATCACACTTGCTTCCTTATGTCACTCTGCACATGAGGACCTGCCACCTTCCCTCCAGCCGACAGCTGTGTGTGCAGTAGTCTGTGTGTTTATTTGCAACAAAGGAACATGTACTTCACATTTAGAAACGCTGACACTCTTTGGTGACAGTTCTAAACTTTTAAGAAAGGAAGGAGTTAGACACTAAAAAGACCCATTTACCTGTTTGTTTTTGCTGTGTTTTCCCCTGTAGGAGGTTTCAGTCAAGAAGAACTCTTAAAAATCTGGAAAGGACTCTTCTACTGCATGTGGGTGCAGGACGAACCCCTCCTGCAGGTAACATGGCCCCTTTGTCATGCTGCTGGGTCTCTGCCAAGGGTGAAGACTTAATTATTGATCCTAAGCATACCTTAAGCCAATTGAAAAGAAATACTTAGATGGGTCACTTTTTTTCTCTTGTCTGTACAGAAAGGGTTGCAACATCCACTTTGGTTAATTATCCTTTTAAATATAAAGAAAAAAATAAACATACTGAGCATGCTCAGTCATGGATTTACTATTTTTCTGTGGTCATTGGGTACATTCTGTGGTAGGTTTTTTAAGTATAAGTTTATGTGTATGGGCAGAAGGTGTGGTCTGGCCTAAGGGCCTGGGAGACCAGGCTATAGGCAGTTGTTTACTGGATACATAGGACACAGCTGTCCTTTGCGATCCTCAAAGAGCCTGCAGCCAGGCCCCCATGGTGAAAGCCTGTTTAACTAGGAAAGCTTGGAGGAAGCCACACTATTTCCCAGGATGTGTGTGTTATCCTCGGTCCCCATCTGCTAAGCCCGGCCATCAAAACTACCTTAGAAGACAGTTGTCACTTTCTTAAAAGCCTTGTTGTGATACCCAGAAGCGAATCTGCCTTGGTAGCCATAGGGACTAAGCCCTGGAGAAGAGTGGCTGCAGACCTCCATGGCAGGGGCGTCCTGGCTGCCTTGCCCCTCTGCTTGCCATGTAATGATAACTTGCTTTGGTTTCTGGCATCTCCTGTCCTGAACACATTCTCAGTGGGCTAGCTGGGCAAAGTATTTTGAGATTACATTCAGAGTAACAGTGTGCAGACAGGTGAGGGAAAAGGAGGCCAGGCAGTGTGTCACAGCGCCGGCGAGGGTTGTTGATTCTTAGGCAGCTCGTGACCGGAGCTGGTTTATTGGCATTCTCTGAGGGGTGCACATACCCGCTGCGACTCGGTGCCCTTCAGAGCAGAGTCTGGCATGGGGTTCCCGTGTAATCACTGCCTTCTGCCCGCGCTGGCCAAGCCAGACAGAGGACTTTTGGTCCCACAGGAGAGCGCCAGGGAGGAAACCCTGCGCCTTGTCTCTCCTGTACCAAGGGATCACGACTGGATCTCAGCTTAGCGACAGCTTGACATACTGTGTCCCTGCCGGGGGTCGTCCAAGCTGCCTCGCAGAGGCGCGTTTTCAGATGTACAGATGTACAGGTCCCAGAGGTACCCAGAGTGAGCAAGCAGCGCTTTGCAATTGGGAATTCGTGTTTGTGAAGCCCAGATACCAAGTCACAGCACAGCAGCAGAGCACCCCGCACAGGATCGCAGGCTTCTTGCCCGCCGGCAGAGGGAAGGTGCAGGCTGGGGTGCTGGTCACAGCGGGACCAGAATGATAACCCGGTGTTTCTCCCCACCCACCTTCACAGGAGGAGCTGGCAAACACCATCTCCCAACTCATCCACGTGATTAACAACTCCGAGGCCCGTAAGTCCTGCTGTTTTCACGGCTTTCCCAGCTCCTCATTCGTCGCTCTGGTAACTTGCCCAGGAGATTTGAGTCATGCAGCTTCTCCTTCCTTCAGACTTTCCATCTCCCAGATGCTGCAACCGCATGCGTGTCATGTGATGAGCTGTCCTCCTTTTTAAATATGCACTAGGTACCAATTCTCTGAGGAGAAAGAGGTGTCTCATGGAGTATCACTGGGCATTTAAATGTTAGCATCAACAATCCCCCAGAATTTTCAAGGTCTGAGTCACTGTAACACACTGAGAGGCCAGAGGTTCGTATTCCAGCACTGACAGCAATCTCTGGGGCCTGGTGCGTCTCCCCCAAGATCAGAAACATGGCGGGCAATAGATAATAAAGCAGAAGATGTCACTGGTAGTAAACTGTAAAGCAGTTCCTTTTTATCAAAAAGAAAAGACAAAGGGGAAAATGTAAGTTTCCAAGACAGTCTTTGATTACTTAAAAGGATAGCAGGGTTGTTAATTCTGCTTAGTACTCCACCAAACAAAACCACCAAGTCACCTGGGGAATCCCCAGTGGGTCTCTAACTAAGCTGACTTGGAATGAACAAGGTTCTATGTGGGATGCATAGAATAGGGTTGCATATATTGAAAGTGGTGCAGGAAAAAAGGCAATACATTAAAAGTAAATTCAATGAAAAAATGTCATGGTTTAACCAGTGGTTTTAGCTGATTGTTGGGTATGCGTGCATTGGAAGGATCGGAGATGCGAGCAGGGGATCTTGATTTTGGTAGAAACGTGGCCTGGCAGTAGATGACAGAAATGCCCGAAGTGTGCTTTTGAGTAGGAGACAGCACCCATCTTCCCATTACTGTGTTCTTATGTGCATCTGAGGAAAATGGTGGAATGCTCAGTTGTTGGCCAGAGTTGCTAGCTGCCCAAGAAGCCACGACATGAGTGAATGAATGCTGGTTTTTTCTCTCGCTGTCTTCTTGCTGTGTGGTCCCAACCTGGCAAGTGCGTGCTCAGGGCCTCTTGTTTTCCGCAGAACACCTGTTCATTCAGACCTTTTGGCAGACAATGAATAGAGAATGGAAGGAGATAGACAAGCTACACTTGGACAAATACTACACGGTACGGCCAGCGTGCCTTCGCCCGGATGCGGGTCTGTGTCTTAGAGCCAGCAGGGGAGAGGGTTGCAGCTCTGTGGGAGCAACCTTGCCTGCCATGCACGATGTCCTGGGATCCATCCCAGCTTGCATGGGCTGGGGGAAGCTGAGGCAGGAGAATCGAGAGTTTGGGTCCAGTTTGAGCAGCTCCGCAACTTTGTCTCAGAATTTTTGAAAGGGCTGGGGATGTAGCTCGGTTTGGAGATGCTGGGTTCAATTCTGTACCCAAAGAGCAAGCTCTAGTGAAGCATCCTGCGTCCCAGGGGAAGCCTTGCAATCACCGACAGCGCTGAGCGAGCGTGTGCTGCAGGCTGTGGCGCTGAGCTGTCGGGGAGGAGTTGAGGTCTCCTCTGGAAAGAGTTTCTGATCTAGCAGTTGACTGTGCTCCCCCAGGCTGGGTCTTGGCTCAGGGCCAGAGTGCGTGCCTAGCACGTGCAAGATGCTGGCTTTGATCCCAGCACTGCTGTGCCTTTCTCTTCCATTACCTTTTCTAACAACACTTGTCTGTCTTCAGCTGACCCGCCTGGTCCTTCGGCAGTCCTTTGAAGTTCTGAAGCAGAACGGCTGGCAAGAAAGGTCAGGAAACTGCTTGAGTTAGGAAATGTAATGGCCTTGAACATTTGTAAAGGCTGGAGAGCTGTGGGTGGGAGAACTTGCTCAGGGTGCCCAGGCTGCTGGTTTTGATTCCTTGCACCCTAGGGGAAAATTGCAGGACAATGCAAGGATATTTTGCACCTAGTTCAGAATTCGTTCTTACCCTGCATATCATTTCCAGTAGGAAGGCATAAAACAATTGCACCCATTCGACAGGGTGACACTTTCTAGGGATGTAAGGGATTGTTTTCTCCTGTAAAACTTTCAGCCCTGTGTCATTCGGGATGCACACTAAGTGTCGCTCTCTCTCAGAGAACAGAGGGTAGTTGGCACGCTCTTGTTAAAGACCACGTGTGTCTCTCTTCAGCCGAGTCCAGCCTTTCCTAGATGTCCTGACAAAAGAGCTCCTGTGTCCCGAGAGTCAATCTCCCGATGACATCAGGTTCCACTTCATCGACATTTACCTGGACGAGCTGTCCAGAGTCGGAGGACGGGAGGTAAGAAGCAGGCGGGCGTTGTGTCAGCAGTGGGACAAGATCACAGGAGCTGTGGGACTCCTCAGCAAAACGTCACTGCCTACGGGCGCTTGGTGCAGTGGCACAGTGGCATAAACTAGTTCAGCCACTCCCCACTTGGGGTGGGACCTAAGCAGCTGCAGGGACATGTAGACAAAGGTTTATGCACTAAGGATGTACGCAATAGTCTTATAAACAAAACCGAGCCGGGCGCAGTGACCTACACCTGTAGTCTAGGGAGGCCGAGGCAGGAGGATTGTTTGAGTCCCGGAGTTTGGGGCCAGCCTGGGCAACATAGGCAGAGTCTGTCTCTTAAATTTAAAAAAACAAAACAAAACAAAACAATTGAATGCAACCTACAGAGCCCAATAAAGAATGCAATGGTGCAGAGAACCCTCAGGATACATTGAGTGGGGAGCAGTAAGAGAAATTGCAGACGGCAGAGCTATGCAGACACTGTGTCTGTCTGTGCTCATCCATAGATAGACTGAAGGCTGGCAAGGAGAAGTGCGGTCTTACCACATGAGCTATTTTTACCTTTCTTTCACAAACACTCCATGGTGAACTCTTTTAATTACAGCGTTATACTTATTAACAGCCAGAATTCCTCCATGTCCCGCTCCAGTCCCCAGAGGTTCTCACAGAAGAGCGCCCACATGTGCTGCTGCAGGGCAGCGCTGGGGCCGCCGGGGTGACGGAGTAGCGCAGGCCCAGGCAGCTCAGATGAAGTGTGCACTCGGTCAGTCTGAGTCTCCTGGGAGAAGGGCACAGGGCTCCCTCAGGCCACCAGGAGCCAGGGCTTTGTTTTCTTGACTGCTTCCTGTCTGCAATTACAGCTGCTGGCAGATCAGAACCTCCAGTTTATTGACCCGTTCTGCAGGACTGCTGCCAAGACTCCGGAGTAAGTGTTCCACTGCTGGGTGATCCTTGGGGGTCTGGGTAGCTGGTGCTGGGTGGCGGGTGGCCACCCCGAGTGGAGATCCCGAGTGGTTCCCAGGAGTGAGACATTTAAAGTGTGGAGCCTCGGTCCCCCCACCCCGAGTTCACATCCCACAGCTTCTGTGCACAGCACATGGGGTTCCTAGTGTGTGCAGTTGATGCCACCCCTGTCATTAGAGCTCCAGGGTCCTCCAACCCGGTGGCAACTGTGTCCCAGGCTCAGTGTAGTCATAGCTGTTGGTCTGTGGCACCCCTGTGTCACCACATTCTCTCTTCGCTTCTACCCCCAGCCACGCGCTGGTGCAGAGGATCGCCCGGGCTGTGTTTGAGGTCATCGCAGATCAGTCTTCCTGGGTCCCTGAAGGGACCGTGGAGGAGCAGAAGATGAATGGGGTTGACGATGCCCTCTCTGGAGAAGAGATCCCTGACAGTGAGACCCCGTGCAAAAAAGCAGCGAGGAGGAAGGCAGGTGAGACTATTCCTCCCAGGCAGGGGTTTTGGTTTGGGGGCTGGTGTTTGGTTTGTTTTATTTTTTGCCTTTTTTGTGTTTTGCTTTTTGATACCACCTCACTAAGTAGTCCAGGCTGGCCTCGGACTCTGAATCCTCCTTCCTCAGCCTCCCAAGTAGCAGGCATGTGCCACCACACCTGGCTCTTGTCTCCATCTTTCCACTTTGGTTTTTTGTTTCCTTTTGTAAATCCTCATCAGGCAGACTCGAGCACGTACTGGAACTGGTGAGTGGAAGAGCTCTGCCCTGGACTCCTCCCGAGAGTGGATGTGGGGTGCTGTAGAGCACCTGTGCCTATTGGGGACACTGCGGGGCTGAGACCCCAGCTCGTGAGCTAGCTCACACATGCTGTGTCCCTCCGGGGACTTCTGGGCTCTGAGGGGTTTTTTTCTCCTTGTTGCTCTGTGTGAACACTGTGGGAAGAGCCAACTGTGTGGAGACCGCCTGCTCATTCCTGACTCCTGGCTTCCTTGGGTCCTTTCCCTATGGGTGTGTAAACACCTGCCAGGGGCTGACATTGTCCCCACTACTGCTTCCTGTTCCCAGTAGCTTGTGCCATGTTGGTGCCCAGAGCGAAGTGTTCAGGTAAAGTTCACTGCCTTGTGAAATATTTTCCATTCATTGAGAAAGTAGTGACCAATGGAAATCCAGTAACTTTTTCTTTTTTAAGCAAGACACAAAATAATGTGTAGAAGGAGCCTGATACCTGTGCTTTTAAAAATCCAGAATACCAAGGCGTGGTGGCATGGGCCTGTGATCCTAGCAGGTGACTAAAGCAGGAGTATTGCTAGTTTGAGGCCAGCCTGGACGACATGGCAAAACTCTGTCTCAAGTTTAATTAAAAATTGTTTGAGCAGTATCTGTAATAATAGGCTGGGATGTTCATGATGGAGGCCTCCTGGGGCAGCCTCGGGAGAATCCGTGAACTAGTACAGGTTAGGCATTGCTAATCCAAAATTTGGAACTGAAGGTTGACACGATACTCAAAAAGCTCTGGATTGTGAAGCCTTTCACATTTCGGGGGTAAGGGATGCTTGGCTTAAAAATCTGCATATATCTAAGATCCCCAGCACTATTAGATCCAAAATAGTTCTGGTCCCAAGTGTTTCTACAAGGGCCGCTCAGCCAGCAGGACACATTTCACCGTGGCCCTAACCTCACTGGCTCTCAGGGCCAACTCCCAAGCGGCTTCTGTGCTTCTGTCTGTGTCATCATGGTGGTAGCAATAGCACAGCTCATGCGTTCTCCCCAGTGAGCCTCCGTTTCTGAGGGCTGAGCAGCTGGAGCATCTGGGGGGTTGTAAGCGCTGGTGCACAGTGTTTCCCTTTGAAGAAATCTTCATCACTGAAGAGCACCTGGCTAGACATGACCCATGGGCATCCAGTCATTGCTGTGTACGTCCCACATTGAGTGTTTTTTCTTTGGTGTTTTCACAGCACTGGACAAATGCCACGCCAGGAGAGGTGGGATCGGTGAAGACAGAGAAGGACGAGACTGTGGACCTCTCGAGGACACAGGGCGGCTTCTCCAGGTGGGGTGGCTGCTGCTGTTTATAGAACAGAGATTTATGAGGGGGTGAGGGTGGCCTGGCTGGAGAATTAGGGTCAGAGCTGATAAACTGCAGAGCCTGCTCTGCAAATCCCTTTTAATTCCTTTTGTCATGGGTGTCACCCTCCTTAGAATGAGCTTATTGGAGACTCAGCTGGTGGCTGATGGTGCATGCCTGTGATCCCAGCACTCTGGGAGGCTGAGGCAGGAGGATTTCAAGTTCCAGCCTATCCTGGGCAACTCAGCCATTGACTGAGGTCCTGCCGTAAATAAAGAGTGGAAAAAAAAGTGTCAGGGGTCAGTGCAAAGGCCCTGGGTCTGACGCCTGGTACTGCAAAAAATGAAAAAGAAAAGGAAAAACAGCTTATATATTGGAGGCAAGTTTACATGGAGTGGAATTTTGAAAACATGAGTCTTTGGATTTGGAGTTGCTAGTATCAGTTATATTTTATACAGTAGCACTTTTCAAATAAAGTTTCCTGTTACCAAATGCAGATTGGAAATCTAGATTAAATCTGTAAAGAAACACCACGGTGAGTGTTGTTGGCTTTTTGTGTCACAGCTGAGAGGAGGGACTTGCTGGCCTTGAGGGTCTCCCAGGAGTGACAGACAGTGTGGGTTTTCCAAGCAGAGATTGCTCCCTGGTGGTCAGCATTAGTGTGTGCTGGGCATGGAGGGACCAGACTCCCGAGTCAGGCAGTGTTGCGAAACCAACAGCTTATGCTGTGTTTCCCTTCTTCACAGTTTGACTATAAGGCCATTGCCGACCGACTCGTAGAAGTGACCAGCAAGAAAAACATCCCTCCCTTCAACCGGAAGCGCCTGTGCAAGCTAATCAGGAAGTAAGCGGCGGGCGGGCTGGTCATGCCTGCTGTGGCGGCTCTTGGCCTGCCCTTTCCCGTTTCCTTTTTACTCACCGGTGTTTGCGGGCCTGGCCTCTTGGCATTCAGAGTTGGGCCAAGAGGGTCAGTCAGTTCAGTGGTCAGTGCAGGTGTCACCAACCACAGTGCCGTGGTGACGTGGGATTTGCTCGTGCCCCATGGTGTACTGAGACGGATGGTGGATGCCAGTTGTCTCTCTGTATGAGCACAGTTGTGTGGCACTCAGGTTAAGAAACTCCTTAGAAAGAAGTTCTCTAAATTTTCTGTGTGTGTTAGGAGTTTCCTGGGGATTAAACCCGGGCCTTCTCACTAAGCTACGTCCCAGGCCTTTCTTTACTTTTTACTTTGAATCAGGGTCTTGATAATTTTCCTAGGCTGGGCTCCAACTTGTGATCCTCCTGCCTCAGCCTCCCACAGTGCTAGGATTATAGGCATGTGCGACTGCACCCAACTGCTTTTCCCTGTTTCATGGTGGGGTAATCAGAGGCCTTGGGGAGGGCAGTCACAGGCAGAGACTCCCATAGTCAGTGCAGGACCCAGCCACCTCCTGGGTACTGTGGCCCCACCTTTGTGTGCCTCCCACACCCTGGCAGCATGTGCTGGCTGGAAGCCTTGGGATTGGTGGAGAACACGCCAGTGCGTCCCAGCAGAAGTCTGAGCTCTTGCTGCCTTTAGAAACAAGGGAGGAGAGTTCTGAGTTTCTCCGGGGCTTTCCTTCCTGTGCCCGCAAGGCTCATTAAACTCTGTGTACCCTGTGGGTGGTGATGGTGCGATTTCTCCCTGGGCTCCCTCCTGGTGTCCCTGGGGCGCATCCTCGATGGCCTTCCTCACTGCAGGAGGTGGAAGTGAGCTGGGACATTCAGGTGGCCTGGTGCAGGGTTGGGGTGCAGCAGAGTGGTAGGGTGCTTCCCCAGCACACATTAGGTCCTGGCTCCCACCCCTAACACCATGTGTCTGGCAGACAGGAGGTCTCTCTATGTACTCTTGTGCTGTTTTCTTTTTCAGGTTCCGGGGCCTCTCTGCAGGTAAGGACAGTCAGATTATAATCCAGAATGTGAGCCCCCTGGGAGCAGCTCCGACAGATGTGGAGAATGGGGATGAAGGTCCCTCGCTGACGAGGTTTCCTAAGGATGGGAGTCCGGCCGGTGCTCACCTCGGGCTGCAGGACATGTCTGAGGGCTTGGCCTTTGTTGCTGCCCCCCTCTTCATCCTGAGAACCCCTCGAATGCTGGGGCCGGTGCCAGGCTGGGTACAAGAGCAGTGCCTCATCTTGGTGTTTGTAGGGTTTTAAACTGGGTCTGTTCTTAGTGGGCTCAGGATATTACCTGGAGCTCACATGCGTGTAATGCTGAGGAGTGAACCTGGGCTTCCACAGAGTTACAGCCCGGCCAAGTCACCAACACGTGCCTGGCTCTGCAGCAGCCTGTCCCCCAGGAAAAGCTGAGCACAAAAGTAAATGAGAGAACTCTGAGAGGCCAGAGGAGCTGGGCGTGGTGCTAGGAGCGCTTGGGTAGCCTGAGGTGGGAGGATCATAAGTTTAAGCCCAGTTTGGGCAATTTAGCAAAACACTTGTCTCAAAAATAGAAGCTCTGGGGTCATAGTCCAGCATGAAGGCCCTGGGTTCAGTTCCCAGTCCACCAAAAAAAAAAGAAGCAAGCTGCAAAGATTGGTCACCTATGTGCAAGTTGACAGTCCCATCCTCTGCCCCTTGCTGGGCACTGGCAACTGGGGACAGTATCACAGAGCCAGTGTGGGCCTCAGAGCTAGGGCTGAGCTGTAGGGGCGTCACCCGATTTGTAACCCACAGCTTGCTGGGTTGAGAATCCATAGTTTTTTTTAAAGTATGTGATTCTCCGTCATCAGCTTCCTGCTCTGGGGTAGAAGACATTGAGAGGAAGCTCACCTGTGCGACTCGGGGCAGGCCCAGCTCCCAGCCACAGGCCGAGCTGACAGCCTCGCACTGGCCCTTGCAGGTGGTGCATCTGTGCTTGGTTTCCCTGAGGAGGTGTCTGCAGATGAAAATGACCATGCTGTCAGCCAAGGAAAAAAGAAGAAAAAGAGAAAGAAACCTTTGGAGCCAGCTGGGCTGGAGCCAGAGCCTGAGGGAGGTGAGCTGCAGGGCTATCCCAGGGTCTGGGAAGAAGGCACCCCATGGTCTGGGCACTGAGCTCAGGTCCTGGGGTGCTGGCTCAGCAAAACGTTTCCATTTGCAGTAGCTGAAAAGTAGAGAGTTTTGCTGTTGGCTTGGGGTTTTTTCCGGGCTTTTGGTTTGTTTTTGTTGCTGCGGTTTTTTGGTGCTAAGGATCAAATGCAAGGCCCCTCGAAAGCTAAGCAGTGTACCCTGGCGCTGATCTTCACCCAGGCCTTGGAGCACAGGTTCCATGACTGCCCTGAGTCTGTGGCTTTGACCTTCTGGCCTTAAAATTATTGGAAATCTACCTATGTCAGTCCCTTTCTACTGAAGTGGACGTAAGGCAGGGTCACAGTCACAGTCACAGGGAAAAAACAGCTCAGGGCTGCACCCAGCACATGGAGGAGGTCAGAGCTTTTCTGGTAGTAAAAGCTGCAAAACCAAGGGGCCAGGGCTCCAGCTCAGCTCTGAGCCTGCACAGTATCACCAAAAGCCCCCCAATCTGTGGCTGCTCTTTGGCTGAGAATCAGATCCAGGCTCTCCTACAGAGCCAGGAGCTTGTTTATTGGTCTGTTGGATGTCTCTGTAGGAAACACAGCAAGTCTTGCCAAAGGCAAGGACAGTGAAGGCGGCCTTCAGAAGAAGAAAAAGAAAAAGAGGAAGAAGAACCACATCCAGCACGAGACCTGTGACCCCAGCGATGCAGCCGTCTCCCTTGAGCAGCGTGGGAACGGCCAAGCTGGGGGCAAAGAGGCTATGCCCAGCGCCGGGGGCAAGGGTGGCGTAGAGCAGTCCTGCACCACCTCTGGGCGCAGTAAGAGGAAGCGGCAGAAGAAGAGGAGCCTGAAGGCACAGGGTGGGGTCTGGGGACTTATAGCGTCACCCCAAGAGGACAGCGGGCATCCTCTAGCCCCTGCTGCCCAAGCTTCAGCAGATGGAGCCCAGGCCCCTAAAAGAAAGCGGAAACTCGGGGCTTTCCCGGTGAACGGCAGTGGACTGGCCACGCTAGCTTGGCCTCAAGCACAGAAGGAAGGAGACGGTGGCCAGGCCACGCTACCCCAGTGCAGGAGGCCTCAACAGAAGGAAGCGGAGCCGTGGAGCCGTGACCTCTTTCCTCCGTCCAACCAGGAGACTGCGGTCTCCAAGAAGAGGAAGAAGATGAAGGAGGTGTCAAACTTGGAGAACAACGGTGTCCTGAGGTCCAGGGTTGGGCAGTGCCAGGCTACGGTAAGGCGGGCAGGACCTTGATGTGTGGGCTGAGGTTGGTGGACAAGTGTGTCCTGGTGCCACTGCTGCCCTAAGGGAGGGAAGAGGCTGGGGTCAGCAGACCTGACAGGCAGCAATGCACCAGGTAGAATGTTATGGTACCCAACAGTGCCCATCTCGGGGCCACACACTTGGTAAGTCAGGAGGTCCCTGTGGAGCTGGAGGTCACCGTCTGGGCGTAGGCCTCTGTCACTCGCAGTCCTTGTTTTTGTCATCTGCTTGGCCCATGTGGTCTCCGAGGCACAGAGGACACCAGAGTACCCATACTGTCTGTGTCTGGGGAAAGGAAGCAGGGTCCAGGCTCCTGACCTGAGCCCCAGTCCCTGCCCTGACTCTGGAAGGGCTGTGCTTAGCAGCAGGTCCACAGGGCAGTTCTGGTGGGGCAGCCCCACCAGCAGTGTGCACACTATGTCTGTGACAGGCCTGCAAGGCCAGGAGGACACACTTCTCCTGCCGCCCTTGCTCAGCACCTGCGCTCCACACTGCTGTGCAGTGGCTGAGACTCAGGGCCTCCCATCTCTCCGTGGCCCAGTGGGCAAGCGCGTTAAGCGACAGGAATGCCTCTGTCTGCGACGGTGAGAACCGGGCAGAACTGGGCCTCCGAGCACCTCCAGCCCCAGGTCCCTGGCCAACAGCATCACCCTTTGTGGTACATCTTGCTACTCTGTCCTGTGACAACCAGCACAGTTGTCCCAAGGGAGGTTTTCTCTCCCAGCAAGACCATGTGTTGGCCATGTCTGTGCAGGCAGAGGTAGGGACCGTAGGAGGGCACTCGGGGCAGCAGCGAGGTGTTGGTCCCCTGACGAGGAGAATCCATAAATGCCATGGCATCCTGCACTGGGCACCCTAGACACCTACTGGCATATCAGCAGGGTCAGGCCTTTGCTTTGAGGAGTTGCCAGCTGACCCACCGAGAGGCGCTCGACTTCCAGAAGGGGACCCACGGGGCCTCTTGAGACAAGGCCAGAGGTTCAGCTGGCTTCAGACTCACTGTGTAGTCTGCTGTGCCCTTGAGCTCGCTGTGATTCTCCTGCCTCAGCCTCCTGAGTGCTGGGATGGCAGGTGCATGCCCCCATGCTTAGCTGATAGCACTTCACAAGCTGAAGTACTTAACTAATGGGCTTTGAAAGGCAAGACACAGAAAACACAGGGCCTAAGCTTGCAGGCAGGGACAATAAAGGGGATTTTTACTGCTGAGGAGAGCGTTGTGTCCCATCAGCTGGGCTGGGTGGCGCTGGAGCCCTTGTGTATGGAGTCCACACTCTGCTCAGGGCAGAGCTCGGGGCAAACAGGCGGGACACAGCAGTTTGGAATGGAGGCTGGGTGAGGGCATCCTGGGGGGGGGGGCACTGCCTGCCGTCACCTCCAGTGTGTGGAGCATGACCCCTCTCTGGGCTTCTTGCTCCTGCAAACAGGACAGCAGCAGGACGCTCAGCCCTGTGAAGAAGCCACTGAGGATGGAGAATGACTTTGTGAGGTTCAACACCTGCCTCTTACCAAAGCCCCTGTTCTTCAGAAAACCAAAGAGCGCAGCTGCCGCCTGCCCCCCGGATCCTGCCGCCCAGGTGCGCCTTCCGCAGCACCCCGACAGCGGGGAGCCCGTCCGCAGCCTAGGGCTACGCGGTCAGAGGTGCAGGTAGTTTCCCACCTGCGTGCCCCAGGATGGGCCGTGGCTTTCAGGGCCGGCCCTCGTGAGTGATGGCATCCACCCAGGAACACGCACCATGAGCAGGGGATGGCGCTCTGTAGTGCAGAAGGCTCAGCACCCAGGCATGTTTCTTTCGCCTTGAGCCACCTGTCCGGCCCCTTCTGTTTTGAGACCAGGCCTCAGAGTTGTTAAGTAGTTTGTGTGGGGCTGGGACTTTCATCCAGCCTCAGTCTACCAGCACGAAAGGGTGGGTGTGTGTCCCACAGGCTGGGGCGTCTGGTGACAGGGCCCTGCTGACACTGGGGGTGGGTGGAGGGTTTTAGACAATGGGGTCTGTCCCTGTCCCCTCGAGTCTGTCCCCACTTTCAGGGCAGAAGACCCAGCTGCTTCGGGGCCCTCCCTCTCGGGCAGATTCCTGGAAAATCCCAGGGAGATGAAGCCCCTTGAGCACAGTCTATTACTCCCGATGCTACTATTAACTTTTCTCCTGCAGTCGAGCAAAACCCCACCCAGCTCCAAGAAAGTCACCTTTGGGCTGAACAGGAACATGACAGCAGGTAGGTTGTGTGTGGCTTCAGGGCACATCCCCCAGGACACACAGCACCTGTCAGGCTGAGGGCTGAGGTCAAGACCTCCCCTCAATGCCAGTTTATCCTCTGGAAGGTCCTGGGCATGCAGAACAGACATCCCAGGACCTTTTTGAGAGGTCACCTGCTAAAAGCACGGGATCAGATGCCAGGTACCCAGATGCTTCCATATGGCCATCTCACAGGGACCACTTGGGGGCACCCTGGTCCCCCACTGTGGTCTCTGCCAAAATTCAGGGCCACCCATTTCCAGGGAGGAGCAGGCAGAGAACGGGCTTCCATCCCCACATTTTGCTTTCATAGCGGGATGTGGGCTTGTTTTTAGGGTTTCTGAGGAGTTTAGGGGCCTGGCCCTGGGGGTGGGAGTGTTTAGCAACCTGGGTACCTGGAGGGCTGTGAGCAGCTTCCCCGCCTGCGGGGTGGAAGGCCCCCCACCATGTCACCCAGTTAATGAGGCCTCCTCTCCCCAACAGAATTCAGGAAGACAGATAAGAGCATCCTGGTCAGCCCCACGGGCCCCTCCCGTGTGGCCTTCAACCCCGAGCAGAGGCCCCTCCACGGGGTGCTCAAGACGCCCACTGGCTCGCCTGCCTTGACTGCCACTCCCAAGAGGAGGCCGAAAGCCTCGGACTTCTTCTGACGCACAGAGCCCCTTTTTATAGACTGCTTTTGTACAGAGTATTCTATAAATTAATTATAACTTTGAAAGCACAGCCGTCTTGTTTCATGCCCCCCGCCGTGGATCGAGGGCTCAAGGTGCTGTCCCTCCTGCAGGGCAGGGTCTGCTCCTGTGGCAGCTCAACCACGGCCACCATGCAGACCCTGAGGCCAGGCATGAGGCCAGGGGCACTTCCAGGCAGAGCCAGGGGACCCAAGGCTGCCTCATCAAAGTGGGCTGGGCATTGTAGCCTCACTGGTCTGTTTCCCCTTGAGCCCTGAGCACATCCGGCCTGGCTCCTGCCTCTGGGGGCCTCTGGAAACCGACTGGACTGGCCGCACCGTAGCTTTTCTGCCTGTCAGTGGCAGTTAGCAGCTCTGTCCTTGCGGCCTTTCCTCCTCGCCTTGGCCTGTCCCTGGCCTCTGGCCTCAGCAGCAGGTGGCCCTCTTCCCCTTGTCTCCTGCAGGCCTGGATCGGCACCCCGCATACTTCTTCTTCTGCTTTGCAGACCCACACAACTCAGTGCCAGTGTGGTCCCCAGGTCGGGACCCTGAGCTCCCGTAGCGGGAAGTCGTGCAGTGGATTTACACAAGCACAGGGCAGGCACTTAGGCTTTCTCAGTCAGCGCTTGTCATCGGGGTGGAAGGTGCTCAGGCTTTGGGGAGGCTGAAATCTGACTTTAATTGTTTAGAGTAAAAATCACCGGGTTGTTGGTCTTATTCAAGGAAACCACTTTGAGCTCAGGAGATGGACAGGACAGATCCGGTAACGAGAGGCCGTGTGACATAATCACTGAGGCCCAGCTGTTCCCTGGCTTTTTGTTTTCTTTTTTACTGGTGTTTTAGGGCCTCACTGTGCAGTTCAGGCTGTCCTCAAACTCACAGCAGTCCTGACTCCGACTCCTAGTGCTGGGACTATAGGCGTGTGACACCACCCCCCACTTTTCCTCCATGGTCTATGCAGCTGGAAATTCTAGGTAGGAAGAGGTCATAAGAGCCGTGCCCTTCCAGCCCTGCACATTCTGCCTGGGATGGCCCATGGTCCTGTACCCCTTCTGCCCTCACAGGAGCTGCCATCGTCTATCACAGCCCAGGGGAGGCCTCCTGCACTGCTCCTCAGCAGAGAACCCCAGAGTTTTCCCAGCAGGACTGCGACTGTTTCCATTCTCTGGGGGCCCCCGGGAGGGTGTCACTGCACATGGTGGGAGCCTTCAGGGTGCTGCCTGGTGGGCTTCCCACGAGTGGGGCTTTGCTCCTGGCCTACTCTGAGGAAGACTCGACACCCCTGGGCCCCCAGGAAGAGCTGACAGTGTGCTGCAAAGCTGTCCCTGGGGTTTCTCTAGCAGTGTCCATTCCACCTGTAACTGGATCGTGTGGCCTGCTGGGTCCTGTGTGTGTGTAATGAAGGGTCCTGACAGGATGTAGGGTGGCAGTGGCACCTTGGTTCTGGGAACAGTGGCAGGAGCTGTTCTCACAGGACTCCAGTGACCTGTCTGTCCTTCAAAGCCAGTGAATGTCCTGCTGGAGTCACGCCGTGAGGGGTTTACTGTCGTGTCTTGGGTTCTTTGTCCTTCAAACCTGACTTCAGTGTGTTTCTGTGGCTTTTAAACAAAGTGTTTTGAGTGCCTACTTTAATGCCTCAATTCCAGCATCGGGGAAATAAGCACTTCAAATTCTTTTCTTTTCTTTTCTTTCTTTTTTTTTTTTTTTGGTCTTTTTTGAGACGGGGTCTCGCTGTGCAGTTCAGGCTGACCTTGGCTCACTTTGTAGCCCAGGCTGGTCTCGAACTCGCACCTCAGCCTCCCGAGTGCTGGGATTACAGGCGTGAGCCACCACGCCCGGCTCACTTTAAAATGTTTTCATTACACACACACACACACAAAGGATATCACATACAGAAAACCTGCTGAGCATGCCAGTTTTCTGTTTGACACATGGGGTTCTCCTAGGTAAACTCGCTGAGAGGACCTGAGCTGAGGCCCAGGAAAAGAGAGGAGTGGGTGCTGCTGATCCAGCAGCGGTTCTCAGCAGAGTGACTGTCTTCCCTGCCTCTGCTCTACAATTCAATCATCAGATGCGGCAAATTTATCACCCTCTGTACTTTTCCTGCACTAAAGGCACAAGGAGCATAAGCCCTGGAAGCAGTCACCAGGAGGAACGTGAGGCTGTCTGCCGTTTAATTTCTGTATGTTCTCTTTGGATGACCTGACTGCCGGCAGAGACGAGGGTCCCCAGTCTGTGTGAGCAGCTGGAGGGCATGTCACAACCAATTAAAAATAGGTCTTTGTCCTCAGATTTGTTTTTTTTTTTTTTTTAATCAGGAATCGAACTCAGGACCTTGTGCTTGCCAGGCAGGCTTGTGCCCCTGAACTGTATCTGGTACTTTCCCTCAGATTTGTATTTGATATTGGCTGTTTGGGGCTTTCGTTTTTGGGGGGTTTTTTTTGGTTGTTTTGTCTTGTACTGGGGATGGAGCCCAGGGCCTTTGCACTGAGCTACATCCCTAGCCATTTTTTATTTTAAGATGAGACCTTTCCAGGTCATTACGTTGCCCAGGCTGGGCTGGAATGTGTGATTCTTCTGCCTCAGCCTCCCAGGGCCGCAGGGTACAGACCATGACCATGTCCAGCTTCCATCCAGATTGTTTGAGTGCTTTGTAACACACCTCTCCAGGAACTTCTAACCCATGGGGTGCAGAGGGCAGTCGGATCTGTGAAAACAGCCCCGCCCAGCACCTGCTGGGCGTTCAGGAGCTGGTCCCCAGCCTAGGCCCGCAGCAGCCTCACTTCTGGCTCTGTGGGCCTGGACTTGCAAAGATGGCACTCAGAGATGCCAGGGTCCCAGGTGGTGCCCAGCTCCATTTGGCAGCAGCTGCGTCTGGGCACCAACGGTGCAGTGGGCATCGCTGGGCAGCCACAAGCAGGCGTCGCCTTGACTGCTCCAGGGACTGGCTCCCCAGTAAATGGTTCTCACCTATGCTTCGGACCCCAGGCTGGTGCAGAGGGTCACACAGGGCCAGTAAGCAAAACAGACTTGGGGGAGGGAGGCCAGGTGCTAAAATGTGCTACCTAAAACGTTCAGCTTTTTTTTTTTTTTTTAATTTAAAGAGAAAAACAAAACTAAACGAAGCAAGACAGTAAAAGGCTAGAAGTAATACAGAATTTCAAGAGAAAAAATATACAGTAAGAGTTCACCAGTTAATAGATCACACATTGTCATCTTACAAACAGCTGTCCAGATTACAAAATTAAAGCATACAAAGTGGAGATTAATATAGTGAGATTGCAGTCAGTTCTGTTCAATGATCCAAGAAAACCTCAGCAATGATCCTCTATCCTACACATTTAAATATACTTGCAGTTATATCCTTTAGATCACTTTCCTTCCTCTCTTTTTTACGCTAACAATCACACATTTTAGTTTCCATTACTTCCACAGTTTTTATTACTTTTTCTTTGAAGAGGAAAAGAAAAAAGATTTTTAAAAAGTCAAAAAAAAAAAAAAAAAAAAAAAAAAAAAAAAAAAAAAAAACACAAGACCAAAGAAAAACCCAGGAGGATGGACATAGTATAAAATGAAAAAAAAAAAGGATTACTAGGTGATCAACAATGGTTACCATTATGCCTCTTGTTATCCTAAAAAGAGTAGCCTATATCAGCTGGTATAAAACAATTAGAACAAAACTGTACATAAGACCAATAAAACCACATTGGAGAGCTTACAGGATTCCAAAGAAGATAATAGTCAAATAATAACGGGCATCATAGAATATCTGGTCACCTTCCAAATGGTTGCCTATACCCTCAAACTTGATACTATTAAGCGAAACAATACAATAAATAGAACAAGATGTGGAGAACAATACAGGAGTTCAAATCAGGTTAATAGGGAAACAAAAAAATTACTATAATCTATTGCACTATTTTTAATTTAGTTTTCCCTTAGTTAAAAGATACTAAGAAATAAATTAATTTTTTAAAAAAGGAAAGAAAAAGGGGGGGGGATTAAAAAAAAGAACATATCAATAGAACAACACCGGTCAGAACCGAAAAATTTAAGCATCATTGTGTTTCACCCCCAGATAGCTTGACATTAATAGTAGTTACCATAGTGACTCTTTCCTTGAAATATTTGAGTCTAACTTCGTATACTATAGCATCAGATTAATCAAGACAGCGTGAAACCGTTCAGGAGAATGAAATTATTGCAGGGTATTTAGAACCAGCTAGCGGAAACCAAACATCAATTTCTATATTATCTCTTTGTCTATAAAAAATTTGCTTATACTATCGCATACATTAAGATATAATAAGATACAACATGTTAGAACCAATGGAAACAAATGAACAACAACTTGATGGGGCTTCAAAACAGGATGATATTAAATCAGCGCTAGCTATTACGCTCTTACTTTCTTCAAAATAGTTACTTGTAGTATCACAGACACTAAAATAAAACAACCCAAATTAAAACCATTCCAATTAATGAGTAAAACATTATATGGCTTCAAACCAGTGTGACTGGGAATCATGATTACCACGTACTTTCATGTATTATTATCGTTTCTTACACTAGGGAAACTATTCGGTATTTATACAGCTGAGTTTGATTTATTTCACTTAACGAGTATGGTCTCGAGCTGCGTCCATTTATTTATAAATGTCTCAATGTGATCATTCTTTATAGCTGAGTGGTACTCCATTGTATAAAAATACCACACCTTTTTTTCCATTCCTCAGTTGATGGACACTTAGGTTGTTTCCAAGATCTGGCTATTACAAATTGTGCTGCTATAAACATGGGTGAACATATATCACTGTGGTATGATGCTTTCAGTTCTTCTGGGAATATGCCTAGAAGTGGTATAGCTGGGTCAAATGGTGCTTCCAGTCCCAGCTTTCTGAGAAATCTCCAGACTGACCTCCACAATGGTTGCACCAGTCTACACTCCCATCAACAGTGCAGGAGAGTTCCTTTTTCCCCACAGCCTCTCCAGCATTTGTTGTTGGTGGTTTTCTTGATCTTAGCCATTCTTTCAGGAGTGAGATGAAATC